CCATCTTCGTTAGACCAAGGTTGGTTCAGTCACATGCTATATAGGGGAAAAAAAGAAACTTTCAATAACCAGATTTAATAATGGCAGGTGACATGCAAATACAATTGCAATAAAATTATAGAGCCTCAGGACAAACTTCTTTTTTCCTTCAAAGTCAAAACTTAGCTTTGGGACATGAAGTAATTCTAAAGGAAAGGGGTCCTTGAAGCACCTTGTGATGGCTTTCATGCACAAGCAATCCTGCAAAGGAAGTAATCCTTCTAGACATGCTGGGTTCTTTGGTTCTTTACTTAGTTAGAAGCATGGCTAATGAGGATTTCTATTTTGCTACATGTGAAAAGGAGAATGAGATGACATTTTACTTGCATGCTCCCCCATTAGCCATACAGGGAATAGATTTCAAAACGCAGGGCTATCGAAAAACAGTTAATGTATGTCTGCCCGGCCTGGACTGGAGAAACTGTGTGTTCATCTTCACTAGTTTTCTTTTGTGATATGTTACATTTGGAGGTGGCCTTTTAGTTTAGGTAGATCAATGTAGAATTCCCAACTAGCCTAGCAAGCACCTCAGGTGAATCAGGTGAAGTGGTGTAATAGTACATTTTGAAATGCTGGTACACATTATGACAGCCCCTGTAGTCACCAACTCAAGAGGAGCCCAAAAATTCAGTAAGCTGTGCTGACTCATATCAATAAACTAGTTCTAGCCTTTTTCATCTTTACTAGGGACATGGCTTCTGTAAAATTAATGGGTCTAAAATTATCCACTGAAGACCCAAGCACCTCACAATTTAGAGGTAGGGATCATCACTCAGGGGTAGAACATGGGTTTTTCATGAAAAAGGTCCTGCTGGTTTCTCCAGGTAAAGCTGGAAATACTCGTTGCCTGAAACCCCGGAGAGCAATTGACTGAGTTAGATGGAGCAGTTGTCTGACTTGGTATATGGTCATTGCTTATGTTCCTAAAATAGTTTACATCACAACAGGAAACAGTACCTGGTTGCTAATGAAATTATTTTTTTCACCTACTATGAGGCTTGCAATATCACAGGGAACAGGGCAGTCTGAGGGGCCTAGCAGCATCTCTTGTAATAAAAATATGCCAGTGCTGTGTCTCTGTGAGCCCTGGCTCCTCTGCTCCACTGATCTTATGTACATTCTTTAGGATGCCTAAAGGAATGTCTTCTTCCCTATATGCCCTCCTGCCCCTTAAAATCAGCAGCAGAGGCCCTCCTCCAGGAACCGTCTTTGAAAGAGATCAGGAGACAGAGCACTTGAAGGAGGGCACCCCTTTTATTTGACCAATATTTTAATATTAATCAATCTTAATTGCTTATTTAACTTATTTTAACTACTCTATTTTATGTATTCAGTCATGGTATAGCTAATTTATTTTGGTTAGGATTCAGACTATATTATAGTGTAAGCCGTCCAGAGATGTCAGTGATGGACAGCCTATAAATGTCCTAAATAAATAAATTCTAGAAACTCTGGTGTAATATTGGTTAATGTTGCCAAGGGAGGACAATTGTCTATCTGAAAGGCAGCTCGTGGACCATCCTTTATTTGAAGGGCTGTTTTGTCCAATTACCATTCAAAGATAAAAGAACCCTAAGAACTGTTGCCCATCAACAGCATCTGGACAGCAAACTAAACAGGCAGGCACACAGAGCACCTGGATATTCAGGCTTTCTCATTAAGGAAAGATGCATTGTATTTATATGTAAATCATAATAGACATATGAGATACCACATAAAAGTTTTATGCAAATTGTGTTCCTCTTTTGGGATTTATAAGTGACTCTTCATAGAGTTGCCATTAATCAGAGATAATTTGATGACACATCACAACAACGTAAGTGGCTACCCTAGCCAGGTAAGCAAGTGGGAGGGAAAGGGAAGGTTTGGGAGACGAGTAGGAATGGGTAGGGCCTGTGAGAGATGAGGACTGCATCCAATTGTGTCTCCAGATGGAGGCACCATGAAATCTGAATTACGGTGTATCTCTCTCTCTCCCCATATACATATTATAATAACAACTCTATCTGGTCCAATTCTATTTGAAGTTCAATGCTGAAACTGAGGGAAAAGGTGTGTTTGTCAGGACCAGCTGCTCACTCCCCCATCCTGCTCACTCAGAGTGCTAGCTGGCCTGCCTACCCAACTGGCCATCCACCAGGCTCCTGGGCTGTCACAGGAGTTTGCTCACCTCTCCCAAGAGCCTCCCACAGCTGGGCCGAAAGGCAGGTGTGAGCAAGTGGCTGTTGGCCAGCCGGCCAAACAACTAAGTGGTTGAGGCTGCTGCTAGTGCTCATGTTAAGAAACCCAGCAGGAAGCTCTGCAAGTTGCTTTCTTGCTGCAGTAAATGCCCCTGTGGTGTGTGTGCAAATGTACAGTTAATGAAACCTGCAAGCCTCATTCCCTGAGCTCTTACCTATCAATGTTGGCATGTTTAAATCAGAAGAGTTTCAACTGTAGCTTTCTCTTTTTCACCACCTTGGCACTTGAGACCATGTTACATTGAAGGTGCAAGATATAAATTATGAAAACAAAAATGTGTATATTGGCATGTTGTGTGAACCCTGTCAAATTTGCAATTTGGCTTTATGTAAACCTAGCTTTGCTATCAAACTATACAATCAATGAAAAGAACCCATTGTTTGTTGTTAGCTTGTGAACAGTGAGTTGTTCATGGTTATCAAACTATGATTTAGCACCAATAGGTTCATACATTGTATTTGCATTTATACTGCATTTTATTCTATTTTATGAATTGTTGCAACCCTCCCAGAGTTTCAACTACTGGGCAGTAGAGAAATAAAATAAACCCACACTCCATCTATCTTCACATATATTCCACAGCAGGTACCTTCTGAAACTATCCCATTTTCTGCCTGCTTTCTTGATATTATTTGATATATCCAATTATCTGTTTGATATACAAATCAATAGGTATACATTTCATTAGTTAAATCATGCACACATTGACACATAACCAGGCCTAACCACCCCCTTTTTTTTCCAGAAATTAACATGCATGCATCCTCAAAATGTAGCTGACACTGACCAGGCACCAGTCCAGAGAAAGACTCAGACGATCCGGGTTCTTGTCCCCGCTCAGCCATGGAGCCAACTGGGTGACTTTGGGCCAGTCACAGACTCTCAGCCCAACCTGCCCCACAGGGTTCTTGTTGTGGGGATAAGATGGAGGAGGAGAATGATGTCAGCTGCCTTGAGCCCTTCGTAAGAAAAAGGCAGGATATAAATCAATCAATCAAGCAAGCAAGCTAGCACTTGGCAGACAACAGCAGCTCTAATAAAGGGCAATTCACCCCAACCTCCTCCTCTCCTCATCTTTGCAATGGCACCCCATCCTTCCTCCAGGGCACCTTCCTTATACTCTTTCCAGTGCCAAGCAAAGACCTTCCTTAAAAAAAAAAAAAGTCAATGCCACTAAACCTTTGTTTGTATTTTTATCTGTATTTTATTAGTACTGTATTTTTTATTGTAGTAATGAGTTTTTGAGTGGGTTTTTTATCTTAGGGTTGTGAGCCGTCCAGAGGTGCTGGGACACAATAGGCAGCATACAAATGTTTTAAATAAATAAATGGCCTAGTGGGAACGGTAATTGTGTTACATGTTCCCCTTTAACAAGCAATGTAGAAAAGGGCCAATTGAGGGCTGCTCAGGTGCGCCCTCTGGAAGGATTTGCTGGTATTCAGTTATTCTTGAGAATAAATCCTTTAAAAAACCTTTCCCTGTTGTGTGTTTTGGGTATAGGCACCCCAGGACCATCTGGTTGATATGTTTGTTACATTTGTATCAAGTTTGTTTTTAGTTGGGCGTTTTAAGTTTTGTTTTAAAAATTGTTTTGGAACAGTTTAGGATAAGTCATGTCGACAAAGACAGGGGGATACAAATGTTTTACAGTATAAATCGAATTTATTTATTTAAAGTTTTTGTATGCCGTCCCCTTGCTACATAGCCTCAGAACGGCTCACAACATAAAATGCCATGTGCTTTAGTTTAAGTTGATTGTATTTTCTTATTCTGAGGTACGCCATTCTAGTCACCCAAAGGCTATTATCCAAATATACTGTCATGGGGTTGCATCTTTGTTTTCTCTGATTATTTGTCCAAAACGCAACCCCACATAAAACTAGAATGCGTTCTATAAAGCGGACGGAAAAGCCCTCTGCACGCGCTCAGGGGCACCTCAGGGAAGAGCCTTGATTTTTTAACAGCTTTCCTGAGTTAGCTGCTCAACAGAAATAGAACATAAATACTCAAAACCGAATTTAACACAAGGCAATTTAACTAACATTCCATAAATTAGTTTAAAAGAGCGCTTCCTCAGGTATTGCGCATGCGCTCATCCAAAGCTTGCGTTCCTCACTGCAACGGTTTTTCCCGCCCTCTCCCGTCAATGAACGTCAAAGGAGGGCCTCCCTTTTACGCATGCGTAGTAGCCACAAACCGTAGTGTGAGAGCTTCGCTCCAAATTCCATTTCCCCCACCCCTCTCTTCGCTTCCCCCATTAGCTTCACGCATGCGTTTTATAGTTCTGAGAGGACTGGACCGTACCAAAGAATGTGCGTCCTGGGGGGACCACTTCTCACACTAGGAAAAATAAAGATGTATATGCAATAAGATCAATATATATATTAAACACACATATATAATAAAAATATGTATAAAATACCCCTTTTTTACAGTTTTCTGATTAGATGGGAATATTTCATAGCAACAGCCAAAAGTGCAGAGACACCCCTCCTCACAGGGTCAGAGTGGCTCGTTTCGAGACCGCGTCACCAGCCCGTCGCTTTCTGAGAGGAAGGAGGGCGCCGCCATTTTGTCGGCAAGGAGGAGAGTGGAGGCCTGAGCAGGGAGCTCGCTTGATCCTCTTCGCACACGGCGCTAGGGGCAGGCAGAAACAGCAGCCGTTTTTTCGTCCCTTCTTCGCCTCCTTCAGGCCTCGGGCCACCGGTGAGCGCGGGATTGGGGGTTAGGCCCGGTCTGCAGCTGGCTGGCGGAGTGGAGGGCTAGGCTAGGCCAGACCGTACCGTGCCGTAAGAAGGGTTGGGCCTAGCGCGGGAAGGCCGGCGAAACGGAGGAGAGGTTGAACTACATGAGACAAATAGAGTATATGTAGAATGATTTGAAAATATTTTTGAGCTCTATGTTTTGGGTTGAGCCCATATTAATAGTTGTCACACGCACACTGAGTCTTAATTATGGACGTGGCCGGGGCCCGCTGTCTTCGGGTGCCTGGCAAAACAAAACGTGGCCTATAGTTCAGATCAATGCACACTGTTACACTTGAGAGAAACATTTGTTGGGTTCGAGTGTTGGACTGAGACTCAAGAAATGAGAGTCCTAGGCCCGCCCAGTTCGGCCGTGAAACTCGGTGGGCTAAGTTTTAATCTAGTCACTGACTGTTTGCTTAACCTAACTCGCAGGGTTTTTGTGAAAAGAAAAGGAGTTCTTGAAAATGAGAAGTTCACTGAATAGTTTTGGGTAAGGCACTGCTTCTCACCTAACCTTCCTCTCAGGGTTGTTATGAAGATTAAAATGGAGAAAGGGAGTATCCAATATTGATGCTATTTGAGGGTACTTTTACTTGACAGCTGTTGCCGGTAGTACTATGCACGCATATGCATGCACAAAATTATATACATGCATTCACAAATGTGTGCATGCATGTGTGCACATAAATACTAATATACATGCACACATTCATTTCCCATTTGTTATTAACATAGTGTCATTGAAATAAAAGAAAATGAAGAAAACATAACTAACATACAAACAACATGTTAATTTTCTTAGATAAAATTTGAATTGATCGATATAGCTGAAACATATGAAATGTATACTGCATTATATTTCATATAACGCAGATAAACTACTGCTTGTAAGCATTTTTATATGTTATATAAGCATACGTATATAAAGAGTGCAATGTTGAAGCGACAATCTTTATCCAGTATAGATGCAGCCACTCTGAAGAGAATGTGTATAAAGGAGCAACACCAAAGTAATTTCAAATGCATTTAGAGCTAACTGTTTTGGTTTCCATCCCTACCAGTAGCTGTCATGTTAAGTGGATACTAAGAGCAGCTTACAAGATTTTTTTTTCATTTGCTCATAGTCTCTTAGATTTATAGTTGTGTTCAGCTGAACAAATGGAAGGACACTAACACACTTGACAGAAAGTACAATTTCTGGAGCTACAGACCCAGAACTTGTAGTTCATGTGGCCTTAATTTGAAAGATAATTCATAAGCTTTGTATAATTCATCTCTCCTTTTTTTTTTTCCTTAAGAATTTTTGCTTCTTACATTTCAAGCTACTGCTCTTGATACTCATTTGACATCATAGGTACTGATGAGGGCAGAAGGCAAAATGCCTAGTTCTAAATATATTTTGAGATTACCTGTTATTTGGCATCTCTGTATTTATATGTACATCAGTGCAACCAGGCAGACTTAGAATTGCTGAGAGATATAACCAGTCAGAAGAAAAGTCAGTATTTCCAGTAAAGCAACTGGCAAAGCAGGAATAAATGTATCATTTATTATATGTAAGCTACTCATTGGCAGAACATATTTGAATACATAAATAATTATAATAAAAAGGTGCTTTATCTCACCTCTGACCATTTCAGGAATGTCATGATCAGAGGCAACCTACCTCCTGTGACAAATGGGGCATAGTGCTTTCATACCCTGCTCATGGGCCCCTGAAAGCATCTGGATGGCTGCTGTTGGAAACCAAATTACACATGATGGATGAGCTCTGGTCCAGAAAGGCAGTTCTTATCTGCTAGGCACTGTGATATTTAGGGCAGATGCATCAGTGTACAGAGTACCTGTTTGCTGAGAGGCAGTTGCATTTGCAGGTTGCCTCCCTTGTTTGCTTTCCAAAACTGCTACCTCCTTGCAGTATTTCTGACATTCCTAGCAGCATCTGATTGGAAGCATGATGCTATTGTAGATGGATGAGTGACCTTTATTAGGTTCTAATAGGCAAATTAATGGAAGATACGTATTTTAATGGTTATTTGTTGCAGTTGCTGAATAGAACCCCACTTTGGCGTTATGCTTTGTTTACTTATTAAAGGTTAGGGTTAGTGTGAGACATGGTAACTAGGTTACCTAGTTTTTTTAAAAGCAGCATCTTTGCCATGCAGTTTCGTATCTCTTCTTTTATGGACTGTTGTACTCCATAATAATGGTGGCCATCCTGCTTTGTAGTGTTTGGGCTTTACCTTGGACTTTTTACTTTTTAAGCTTTTAAACGGTTTTAATTATAAGTTAGTTTGGGGACCTTATTCCAGCTGAAAGGCAACCCATATATTTACAAATAATGAAGTATGAGTAGCTTCGTGTCGCAGGGATCTACAGTAAAGCATGCAACAGAATAAAATCAGCACAATAATGCAATTGCAGCACACAATAACATATTTAAAGTAAAGTAGCAGGATATCACCTGTTGATGCTGTCAAAAGTTCTTTAATCATTTTCTGCAAATTTCTGATGCCTCTATTACATACTCCTTGTGATGTCCAAGTTATATTCTTTTGCTCTTGAGTTTACTCCCTTCTCTGGGTACCTTGATAATTGTTTTTTCGTTTGGTGGCATAGTCATAAATTGTTTTTATTGTGCTTTGAATTGGTGAACTTTAGCAGCAATTTCATAGCCATCTTGTGGAATGCTTTGTTTGTAATCCCATTTTATGATCTAACTCAAGAATAGATAAGAGATTAGTTTTCCTAAAATTAGTTCATTGTTCAGCAGAGATTGTGCATCAAAGGTAGGCCTTGTGTTGTCTCATCATTTCATTCACATACATCCTTCCTGTTTTCCTTTTTTACTGTGTTCCTTGCTATTTGAATCTATCAAGATTTCCTAAATGCGTACCCATGATGCACTTTTGTGTACATTTTGATAACTGTTTTGGCTTCCCTAATCAGCGTCAAGGTTTGAACGAAGAAAATTTATATGCCAAATCTGCCTGTACAGCTGTTGGTTTTCTAACAACGCTACATCTTAAGTGTGCATCTACTGCAAAATGTTTGTTTGCCTGCCTTTCTGTTTCCTATAGTTAATTGAAGGGAAGCACACTCTGGCCTGAGCAATCCACCAGAGGAATAAGGGCCATTGAGAGGTGCATGGAAAGGTACACCCTCCATGAAAGAACATAGGTGAGACAAATCTGCTGCAGCAATCGGCTAGAGTTGCAAAGAGCTTTCTCCCCCTCCCTTCCCCAGCAGAAAGAACTCTGCTTCAACTGCCAGTTGTCCTAGAACTGCAGAAGTGCAGTGACATATTATTCTGACCTCTGCTGCCAGTGGGCGGACTGCCAGGTAGCTGAACATCTGTTTGAGCAAGACAACCTGCTTGGTTGTAAGCTGGCTATAAATGCACTTTTCCAACTAGTCACTTTGTTCTGGCCATTCTCCAGCGCTTCCTCTACTCTCTTTCCTTGTATGTCCTGTCTTTTCAGTTTGTAAGCTGAGGTTGGGACCTATTTCTTTGAAGCTTTATGAGATGATTTCATCCTGCCTTTCAGACAACATCAAGATGAAAATAATCTATATATAGGAAGATGGGAATCTGCCTTATACTGGGCCATTCTATTTATCCATCTAGTTCAGCTCTCCAGAGACCTTTCCCATCATCTGTAATTTTGTCATTTTAACTGGAGATACCAGAAGTTGCGTTTTGGGCCTTCTGAATGCAAGGCACATACTGAACCACTGAATTACCTTTCCTTATCTTTCACTTAACTGTGTATTTGGAGTGTATGCTGAATGTCTTACTGTGAGAGCCAAGGATGTGTCAGTTATGATATTACTTAAATAGGAAAATAGAGGAATGGCATTTTGCATTTGAGATGGACTTTTACCGAGATACAGCCATTATTAAAACTTGGAATTACCTTTTACAAGTTAGATGTTGCTCACTTTCCTCTCTTTAATCCTTCTATTTAGTAACACCACGGCGGAGATGTCAGAATATATCCGGGTTACTGAAGATGAGAATGAAGAACCCATTGAGATTCCTTCAGAGGATGATGGGACTGTGTTGCTCTCTACAGTTACTGCTCAGTTTCCAGGGGCCTGCGGCCTGCGCTACAGAAACCCTGTGTCTCAGTGTATGAGAGGGGTCAGATTAGTGGAAGGAATTCTGCATGCACCAGATAATGGCTGGGGAAATCTGGTATATGTTGTTAATTATCCCAAAGGTATGTGCTCAGAGTTCTACTTTGCTAAAGCATTATTTACACATAGAACTCTAGTAGGAATATTTTATTTATTTATTTATTTATTAAAACATTTTTATGCCGCCCCATTCGCCGAAGCCTCGGGGCGGCTTACAACATTTTCTTTCTTTTGGCTTGCCCACAGCTTTAAAAAAGCGATCCCCATCACCCACAGAGTTCTGAATTGAGTGAAAAATGGGATTGGTTAACAACAAATAGTAGTGTAGTGTCTAACTTGTAGAACTGGTTCACAAAGCTATTGTGATTTTTCATGGTTCATTTAAAGCTTGGTAGGTTGTCAGGCCTGCAGGTTGTCAGGCCTGCAGCTGCCATCTTAAATATCAGGCTGTGTCTTGTCATGTCATCTGAGTACAGGGTTTTTTAAGTTGTGCAACCCTAGCCAAACCCATAAACTCTTTTAGGGTTGTGCGTGAGCCATTTAGCCTTTGTAGAACCCATGGTTTGGATGACACAACAAGCTGCAGTTGTAGCTTGAATATTCAAAATTACAACTGGGTTACATCACAGCCCACTCGGATTTAAATAAACTATGGTGGGCTGTTTGTGTGAACCAGCCTACCACAAATACATTCCAAGGTTGCAATTCTGAACATAGTAACTAGGTGATAAGCACTATTGAACCCAATAAGACTTCCTTCTGATTAAATTGCCTGTGTTTGCACTATAGGAGACCAATCCTGTGTGTGCTTACTTTAGAATAATCTCTGTGTTGTCTGCACAGGAGTTTGGTGCCAAGTCAGCGTAGGGCTGGGCTGTACATAACTTTAAAATGACCTGCTCCTTCAAAGTCTTCCACTTAACTGGGTTACCTTTCTGTTTAGATAACAAGAGGAAGATGGATGAAACAGATGCCTCGTCAGCTGTTAAAGTGAAACGAGCAGTGCAGAAAACCTCTGATCTGATAGTTTTGGGTCTTCCATGGAAAACAACAGAACAGGATCTGAAGGAATATTTCAGCACTTTTGGAGAGGTTCTCATGGTGCAGGTATTTGACATTCTTTTCCCGGAATAGTGATGACCCTATAACAGTTCGAAACTGCTATTGTATGCATGGCACTGTCACCTCATAACACTTGTAACAGTTGCTCCTAGTTTTGTAGAGGAAGAGAGAAACTAAGTTTTCTTCTACTGCTGTTTAAGCAAGGGAGCAGGATTAACCCTTTTTGTATAAACCATAATTAGCCAAACGATAGAAGTGTAACTCCTGCTCTGTGTCATTAATTTCATTATTATAAAAAGAGCATTATTTAAAGCCTTTTAACCCCACTGCCCAACAGAAAAGACTCCTGGATCAAACAGTCTCTGCCCTTAAACTTTATGATCTAAAAGACTCAGCACAAAAAGAAAAACAGATGAGGACAGAAGAAGAAGATGAGTCAAGTTGGACACTAATTATTGTGACATGGCTCTTATATTTGACCCAAGGGAATGGAAATAATTCAGGGCCACAAGGAGCCAGCCAGAGCATGGTTTTTCAGTACAGTCAAGGGAGCTGAGTTGCCCTGCTTCTCCTTTTTTCCTTTTGCTACAGTTTGAACAGCTTTTAACTTTTAGATGGCATTTGAGGAAGAGAGAAACCTAATGCTGCAGCTGTTCCGAAAGGAAGGCAATTCCTGGTGAAGGCTTCAGCCAAAGAGCAGACATTATCATTTTTGTGTCCCTTCATTTGGCAACTTGGTCTGTGAAATAATTGTGTGGAGTTTTTTTCAGTATTGAGAGCCAGTGTGGGGTAGTGGTTAAGAGTGCTGCCTTGGAACTCAGGTGATCTTGGTTCTAGTCCCCACTCAGCCATGAAACCCACTGGGTGACTTGGGGCCAATCAAAGACTGTCTAAATTACCTCATGGGGCTGCTGGGGTGCCGATTAAGTGACGGGAAAGAGAACCTTGTGAGCCACCTTGCATTCCTTGCAAGAAGGAGAAAGGTGGAGCGTAAATGCAATGTAGTAATGGTGGTGGAGGTGGCGATGATATCTAGCCATCTGATTTTCTCTAACTGTAGGTGAAGAAGGACATCAAAACTGGCCACTCCAAAGGGTTTGGTTTTGTCAGATTTACAGACTACGAAACCCAGGTGAAAGTCATGTCTCAGCGCCACATGATAGATGGAAGATGGTGCGACTGCAAGCTCCCGAATTCCAAGGTATTCCTTGTGGCTTGTTCTTGACTTGTAGTCATGCTGTGCCAAAATCCTTGTCAAGAACTTGTCACAGATGATTCTAGACAGGGAGATTCTATATAATCCTGAATATATTAGCTGTGATCCAAAGAACTGGACACATACCAGATGTCTCGTATTATGTGGGAAGTTATTTATGAAGATGAGGGACTTTGAAGTTGAGTTACTTTATGAAGCCGGTTGTGATATTGTGATTGTGGAAGTAGAGTGAGGTATTAAAGGAAAACAAGCCAGTGCCCCTGCTCAAACCCGTTCAGAAGATCATGTAAGAATATGGAATATATTTTATGATTAGCTGCCACCTGCGTAGGAAAATTGGAAATTGTTCCCTTGTAATTTGTACATGTATATAAGTGCCCTCCATATGTGCATTATTATAGTCGCTGAACAAAAAAGAATTTTCTATTAACCTGAGTCTTTGTTCTGCATTGACACTAGCAAAGTCCAGATGAACCTTTGCGTAGCAGGAAGGTGTTTGTTGGGCGCTGCACCGAAGACATGACTGCCGATGAGCTCCGTCAGTTTTTTTCGCAGTATGGAGAAGTGGTTGATGTCTTCATCCCCAAACCCTTCAGAGCTTTTGCCTTTGTTACATTTGCTGATGATCAGGTATCCATCCAAAGTGTCCGGTTGTGTGGACAACTTGTTCTTAAGAGTTTTCCATTAAGCTTCCATTTATTTCCGTTGCTGCAAATGGCTCATGAACAAGAGCAGCTGCAGTTACTGCTAATGTCACTCCTGTCTGGCACATAATTAGTTTTGCTTTGATGTGTTGCTTATGTTCCATGTACATGTTATCCTGTGTAGTAGCTTACTACGTAGGAGGGGGAGTGAGGCTACACTTCTAGCCATGGCTCTGATGTCATGTGTGCGTCACCCACACATGAAGTGTAAACTTCATGCTCAAGCTGCTGCTTTATGAGGGGGCTCTGTGCCACTTGGATACTCGTCCAGTCAAGGCTCCCGATCATGTGGCATCCCGTTGATGCTCATGCAGGGAGACTCCCTGGCAAATTGCATGCCGGTTGGAGGGTGTTACAAGAGTCATGACTGTTGCTATGTGGTAAGGTCTTACCTGTGAGCAATGTGTGAGTAGGCTTTAAGCTTTGTTTTAACCCAGAAAAACATAACCCTGAGATATTAAACTTGACTGATATTCTGAAACATAACCAAATACCTCTTTAACGGGGCAGCACATAATGGCATTTTGTGGCTTGATGTTTACAAAAAAAAGGCCTTGCAAATAAATGCAGCTAAGTTCCTTACCCAAAGGAGTTGACTAGCCTCAATAGATAAACATCCCTGTTTGCCATTTGTGGCATGCTGACTTTGCAAGGAGAATCAGGAGTAGGGGTAAACCTACAAGGTTGGAAACTTTGTTTCCCTGCTTCCTGGGAAGTAGCCAGTTTCTGTCACAAGCCACCAGGCAAGTTGTTGAACTACTGCTTTGCACAGTTTTATTGTTAATTAGTAAACTGAAATATTGAGATAACCAAAGCATTTGATCATTTCTGTTCTGGAACTTTTAAGTTCATGAGTTTCTGCTTTCAAGACTCCTAAGTTAGCTGTTCCTATTAAGGAGAAACAGTATGAGGTATAATGTACTTAAAATGAATACTATCTTTAGTTCCATTTTTTTCCCCCGAGGAGACCTATATTCTGCACTACAGTAAAGGGATCCGTATGACTTTGCAAGGAGTACTGTTTATTAAAATTAAGCACCTAGATTTGTATGTTGTTACTGTTTAAAAGTTACATGTGTGTAAATTTTACTTTCTTTTCTCTTTAAAATTACTCAGTCTGCATACCTTATTTCTTATAGGTTGCCCAGTCCCTTTGTGGCGAGGACTTGATCATAAAAGGAATCAGCGTCCATATATCCAATGCTGAACCTAAGCATAATAGCAGTAGACAACTAGAAAGAGGTGGAAGATTTGGTGGTAATCCAGGAGGCTTTGGGAATCAGGGTGGATTTCCTAACAGGGGGGGAGGCGGTGGAGGTGGAGGGTTGGGAAACAACCAGGGCAGCAACATGGGTGGTGGGATGAACTTTGGGGCCTTTAGCATCAACCCAGCCATGATGGCAGCAGCTCAGGCAGCGCTGCAAAGCAGTTGGGGAATGATGGGGATGCTAGCAAGCCAGCAGAATCAGTCTGGGCCATCAGGGAACAGCCAGCCACAAGGCAACATGCAGAGGGAGCAAAACCAGGGCTTCAGTTCAGGAAGCAATTCTTACGGAGGCTCGAACTCTGGTGCAGCGATCGGGTGGGGCTCCTCAAATACAGGCTCTAGCAGTGGGTTTAATGGAGGTTTTGGATCAAGCATGGATTCCAAATCATCTGGCTGGGGAATGTAGAGAACCTAACACTGACTCTTTGGTGGGAAATCAGATTTTTTTTTCTAGAGCTCCTGGTAAGTATATTATAAGATGCATATACTAAAACGAAAACAAAAAAAAAACTCCAAATCAATTTGTTCAGCGTGTAGTATATTTCAACAGTATTTTTGACACTTTTTCTTTTGTAAGGGGGGAAAAAAAGAAAAGATTAAATGGAGTTTTATAGGTTTTGTTACATTGAGTTGGAATACATGAGTTGGGATATTGAGTGGCTGAAAGAGAACTGCTGTTTGCCTGACTGGTAAACGGACGCGCTGCAATTTGGTAGGAATTTGTAAAAAAAATTTGATTCCTCATTTCCTAGTCAGCTGAGATCTTTGCATGTTTCAAAAATGGAAGCCATTTTTCAGAAACTGCATCCTATCCTTGTTAGTTTTTTTTCTTTTACAATTTAATTTGATCCCCCGCCATAAGAATTTCTCTCTCTCTTTCTCTCCCTCCCCCTCCCCCCAAATGTCCTGTGTGGAGAATGCAATGTTGGTGTCGGCTTTTTTTCCTTTTAACACTGTCTCCCCTCCTCATACTAAAGTACGGTATGAAGACCTCATTTAATCCTTGCAGTTCATCTCATTTCAAATGTGTATGGAAGAAGCACTTCATTGAAAGCAGTGCAGTAAAAAAACACACACACACACACACAAAACAAAAAAACCCTGCCTTAGGAATATTCCTGTCTCCATGCTTTCCTCATCCAAGACTCCTTCATCACACTGCACATGCTACGTCTTAAGACGGTGGGTGTTCCATTTTTATCCGCTACTCTTTTTATTTCATGGAGGTCGTATTCAACGCTATGAACGCAAGGCTGTGAGATGATGGATACCGGAAGGCTTGTTTGAACTTTTGAAAACCTTGTGTGGGATTGGATTGGTGGTGCCGAGGCATGTGAGGGCTTGGTATGTGCGAGAAAAAGGAGGAGGCGCATGCAGAGAGAGACTTGGTGGTGCATTATGGGATTTTTTTTAAAAAAAACTTTTTTTCTTGGCGCGATGTCCCTCGATCCTGTGACTTTGGTGATGAGAGAGTGTGCGGAGAGCAATGGGAGAGGACGTACGAGTGTTTTTTTTTTCTTGCATTCAGAAGGACATCCCGATCTGGAAGAACTTAATGGGGGGAGGGCTTTTTACTTAGTTAACCAATTAGTAGAATGTGTTAAGTGAAATGAATATCTGTATTTTTTTCCCTCCTTTATGTCAACTCTGCTGTGAATGCTGTATGGTGTGTGTTCTTTTCTGTTTAATGATCCTGTAAGTGTGGTCATGTGAACTGGAGGTGGGGCTTTCGATGGGAACGCCCAGCTCATGGTGTGCTTTGCCAGTGTTTTTGTAGCAAAGCTCATTTCTGAGCTCAGGGGTTCCCTTGTGGGTGGAAGTTTCTCTGTCTGTAAGATATCCATATGAATGCTGTTTGCTGCAGTTCTGTGTTTGGATGCTTTTTATAAGATTTGTCAATGTAGGAAATTCTTAAATAAAACTGATTTAAGTAATATGTGTGTGTGTTTGACAGCCCCTAAGTGCAAAGAATTCATAGGAGTTAACTTGGTGGGGTTTTTAAAAATACCTGGTGTTGGTATAAAACCACTGTAAAGATGTATTTGGTATTTTAAATTTGCCTCTTTTGTTAATGTAGTTGATACCCAGTAGCTTGGCTCCAGTCCCATCTTGGTAGCGTTTTGTGATATACACATCTGAAATCCGGTTCTGCCAAATGAGGTACCCCATCCCTGGTGAGCAATTCCCTCTAGGGTACTGGGTGTTGGAGATAAGAGGCCTTTGAACCCATCTGTGGTATTGACCTATTTCAGTGTACTCTACTTAGATAACTGAGTTGGTGGTACAGTAGTGATAATACCCCACTTAAGGGAATACTGCCAGAACAGTTAGGTTTTCCTGTGTTGAACAACAGGATCCGCAAGATTATGGACCAAGTAGTCCTAATTGTTACACCACTGGTGTCAGCCTATTTATTATTTACTTGATAAAAACGTACAGCTTCAGTTTTGTAGACTGTGTAAGCACCAAATGCATAAATGACCTACTTAAGTGGGTATAGTCCTGTTTTTGTGAAAATTGTCCCAGTACCCTGGAAGATTTCCTTCCTGCTTTCATCTGCTTTAAATCCTTAGAAAAGACACTGATGGACACTTTAAAAAAGGGTTGTTGGGGCTTATGCTGGCATTACTGGTGAATGGTAAAATCCATATAAAATCCAGTACGTGGTTCTCCATGTGAAACAAAATCTGTCAATGTTCCAGAGAACAAATATTTGTTAATGAATTGATTAACCTTTTCTGTACCTAAATCAGATCTCTTGCCAAACTCTGTACCATCTGAATTTTGCATTTTAGTACTTGCACTAATACCATCTATTGCTGCTGAATAACACTTAATATGGTATTCTTGGACTTCCAACGGCTAAACTGTGTCAACCCCGAGAAGGATCAAGAGGGTAAGTTTTATACCTCACTAGCATGGTTTCAGTAATTTGTTTCCACTTGTTTTTTAAAAAAGTAGCCTAGGGCCCCAAATGGAAGGGGGGAATACAGGTTGTGATATTTTAGTACAGTGAGAGCACTAAGGATTTTATTCTCCCCTCCCTTCAATCCTTCAGTGTATTAGAAATGTTTTCAAACATTATTCATACCTTTATTTTTATTTTCCATTAGTGTTGAAAGTGAGCTAATAAAAGGTGTTCTCATAACTTGATTGTCTGGAGTCTTGTTTTGCTTTAACTTTCCATCTATTGGGCAAATGTGATTTAAAGTAGGAAATGAACACAGTTTAACACTGCTAGAAGGATTATCTTGCTAATGAGCTTCATTTAGTCATAAAAAGCATAGTAATTTAACAAAGGCCCTATGTGAGCAAATGTGTTGTGTGTTTCAGTTACCTGCTGAGCATCTCTTAATTACTGAGGCTTCCATATTCAAATAGATGTAATGTTGACAATTTCCTCTTGCAGGCCAAATTTGTGTGGGTGTGAATTGAGTCTTGAAGCACTTTGGTCTCAGCAGTTGCAAATGTAATGTTGCAGCTGATTGAACAACACCTCTGGGGGTCTTGCCGTGTTCCTCTGAGCCACATCTATGGGATATTTTTTTGTTTTTGTTTTGCTGTTGGTACTGCCTACTGATAAGAACAGAACAGTGTTTGAGATATTTTCTTTGCAGTATTTTATAAAAACTCAAGATTAGCTCCTGCTGATGTTGAACAGCTAGTCTCCTGAATTGGCTGTAGAAGAAAAATCATTTAGATCCAATGCCTGTGATTTGCAAAGAGAATGGAAGAAATTGTAGAAGGCAAGTCTGTCAACAGCAATTAAAGTAGCCACGAAGTTTCACTCTTGAGACTTGGAGCATCTTTGCCTCATGTTGGAAGAAACTGCAGAGTCACATTGCATGAACCATCTGGTTCGAGATGGCCGGTGGCTATAATAACGAGTCACTTTCTCAACGTTTTGTTGAGACCCAGGAATATGAATTTTCTCAGAATCAGTAAGGCCCTCTAATCTCCCCTCTCTCAAACAGGAATAACATTTCTACTTCACACACATGCTTTGAATCAAGCTCCAGCACTGGAAGGATCGGCACAATCCCAATTCTTTTGACACCTGAATTTGAGGAAAAACAAAGGTGCTTTAACTGCATGGGGTGTGTGACTGTTCATGCGCAGTGTGGCAGTTCTCCCAGAGGAATGGGAAGGGAGATGAGTTTAAAGGTTGGCTAGTCAAAACAACGCACAGCCTCCCAGGAAGAGAACTAGACAAGTGAGGCAGATGTACTGATACCTAATTTAATACTGCTATTTTTTATTTTATTTTTGCAGTTCTGTTATATCTAAGCATATCCTGACTGAGCTGTCAATAAAAAGGTCTGGAAATGTTTACTACACAGTACTGTATCTATTTACTCGTACATCCTAGTTAGCCGGATAGGGCTTACTGCCAAGTGATGTGTACTTGGGCCTACAAATGTGCAAAACCATTTGTTGTAACAAAAGGAGAAGAGTTTGCATTTGTTTTATTGAAATAAAACAGTAAAAAAAAATCAGTTAAGAATTCCGAGCGATTATGTCTTCAATCCACGAAAGGTAATTCATTACTTTAGTGTATACGCCGTACTGCTCTGCAGAGCCACATTCCAAGCCCCAGGATACGATGCCACCGACAAACCACTTCTTGGTCTCCGTATCGAAAAACGTCAGTGGACCCCCACTGTCTCCACTACAAGAATCCCTCCCACCTTGTTCGTAACCAGCACAAAGCATGTTTTCTGTCACCACAAGTGGCTTCCCTTCCAGAGTGTGGTTTGCATATGCCGCCTTGCATTTTTCTGGATCAACAACATCTAACTCGGTATACAGCAAGGCAGAGGATTGCTGCCTCTTCTCTGTTTTCCCCCAGCCAGCAACCACACCAATATCACTTGTGTTCACATGGAATCTGCTGCTTCTTGCTGGCAGGCAAATGGGAGTGATATTTGCATTAATGGGGACTTTTTGTTTCAGTTTAATCAAAGCAATATCGTTGTCAAAGTTGACCCCGTTGTTTGTAAAACCCGCATGGACAAAAGCAGATTCTGCCCAGGCCTGGTGGTAGTGAAGGCTTCGTTTGCTTAGAAGCCCCATTTTCAGAATTAAGGAAGATGCAGCGTTTGGATTGGAGATGACATGGGCAGCTGTTAAGATCCAGTTATCATACAGAAGTGCACCTCCACCTGTTGATCCCTGTGGGCTGGTGATCAGAACCTGCCAAGGAAACTGACCAGGCAGGGCCCTCTTGCCCCCAAATATCCGCTTCAAAGCATTGGAAGTTTGGACTCCGCAAACTGAAAGGGAAAGAAGTAGGCTCTTTAAGTTAGACTGTCCTTAGGAAAGTGAAATACGAATGTCATGCATTTTTGTTTGCTAATAAATTTAAATACATGTTTCCTAAATGATTTGCAAACTGTTTCCCTGATCCTTAGAAGAATTGTATGGACTGCCTGGTAGGATTCAGCTGTTTTGTTGTGGTTCTGGTTCCCTTCTCTGTTGAAAGAAGATACTTGAAATACGGAGCCACAAACGGCCATGGAATTGGATACTCATGAGAGGATAGCCTAAACTAGGCATTGGTTGCTTGTGACTGGATGCCCTTGACTAGATTCTTTGGAGTGGAATACTGGCATTTAATTTTCCATCTCTTGTTTTTCATTTGCTCAGTAGCTGCTGCCCAGTCAAACCTGTAGGCTTGGTTCTTGCTGAGAGAGTTAGAGCGTGCTCTGTGAGACTGAAGGATGCAAGTGGGAGCTTGTGTGATGCGGGGAGGGAAATTGACTGTATACTGCTGTGTTTGCACATTGAGAGGAATCCTTGTCCAGGCAAGTAGCTTGCAAACTGATCCTTCTGTAGTCATTAGATTTATGCCCCACCACTTTCTCTTTTGTTTAAAGAACTCAATCTTACATCAGACCCTTCCTGCTCTCAGTCTTATCCCCACAACAGCCCTGTGAGGTAGATTGAGATGAGAGGCTGTGACTGGCCCAAAGTCACCCAATTGGCTCCATGACTGAGCAGAGACTAGAATGCAGATCTCCTGAGTCCCAGTCCTAGGCTCTTAACCACGACACCACACTGGCTCATAAATTTTGTTACGTTTCTATAGTGCCCGATAGCTGAATGATCTAACTCTTAACCTCAAGCAAGCACACATGGACCTTTCAGCTAGGAAGGGAAATGGTGCCAGCCAGAAATAAGGGAGAGATTTTTAGATACTTGCAAAAATACTTGAAAATGTCTAATTGTTTTTATTTTAGGGGGAACCAGCCAGGTATTGGGCTAAATAGCTTGGGACCAGTTTGCATGGTCCACCTGTACCTATCTGACCCCACCTGATCAACCATGGAGGTGTCCAGCTCACATACTTGCTGGATTTTATTTATTTATTTATTTAGAGTTTTTGTATGCCGTCCCATCGCTTAATGCCTCGGGATGGCTTACATAAACAAACATAGTATAAAAATACAGATTATACAAATTAAAAACCCAGTTCACTCCGGCTGCAAATTAAAACCTATAGTTAATATTAAATGTTATTAAAATATTGTTTAAATAAAAAGGTCTTAGCCTGGCGCCGAAAAACAAATAACGACGGCGCCAGGCGGACCTCTCTGGGGATATTCAGATACCCTGGATTTCAACTCCCATCTTTCTTGGCTACAGGCCAGGGATGCTGGGAGTTATAGTCCAAAACATCTGCAGAGGGCAGGGTCTGACTTTTTTCAAAATGTTGAAATAATGATTTTCTACCATGGTCATTTTTAATGACAGCATGTAATCTGCATTACTATAACAAGTCAAATTTGAGGTTAGTATGACTCACTCAAGGTTGCTTAGGTATACTAGTAGTAAGCAAGATGGAAGTGCAAAACTCCCACCACCTATATTGAACATATCCTGAGATAGCCTTCGTTCACGTATTCTGTATTTTGTTACATAGGTTACCTGGCTCACAGACAGGAGGTGCTTTTTTCCCTCTGGAATCCTGCCAGAAGCCATTGGCTGCACATTGGAAGTTACCTGCAAAAGCATTTGAATCAACTGAGATGATAGTGGAGAGATCCACCAGAAGAGAGCTGGCTATTTCAGATCAGTGTGAAATCCAGCTCTGCATGTTTCCCAGTCCCTGATAAAGTTTTCACTGAAGTACGGATTGGGAAGGGATCTTGGAGATCATCTAGTCCAGACCCCTCAATGCAGGTTCTTAAATACCTTCAGCATCCATCCCTCATGCTTGTTTCATAAAGCAATCTCATCCAACCAGACCTTCATGTTGGAATTGCTTGATTATCCCCATTGCACCCAACCCATTGAGGTGTTTCAAGCTGAAAGGTAATGAGCAGCGTGACTGCAGAACTTGGATCTTTCTAGCCCATACAAGCAGGTAGGCACACCCCAGTGACCTGACATGAAGTGTGTGTGTGTGTGTGTGCTGTGCCATCACACCAGCTCAGCTAATGACTGGGAAGGGAACCTTTGTTGCATTTCTGCCCCACCCTTCCGTTGGGGAACTCAAGGTAGCTCTTTGTGGGACTGGAATGGGTACTCTGTCCTATTGGCTATATCATCAAGGCATTCGTTACGCACTGCCGTTTCTGACGAAGGGCAACCTACCTGTCCTTCACAGCCCTGCTCAACTCTAGTACATTCCAGGTTGTGACTTTCTTTTATAGAGTCAACCCTTCTCATAATTGATCTTCCCCTTCTGCCTTTGATGTTCTCTAGAATGCTTGTTTTATTCAATGAGTCTTGACTGCATCGGTTTTGTCATTCTTGTTTCTAGGGAAAATTCTGGGTTTAATCTCGAACCCACTAGTTCCTCTTTCTGTCACTCCAGGGTGTTCACAAAGCTCTCCTCCAGCACCCTGTTGCCTTCACTGTAATTTTCTTCATTGTCCAGCTTTCACACCTATACATGGTGATTGGGAAAACGAGTGCGGATGATCTTGGCTTTGGTCTCCGGTGAAATGTCTTTATACTGGACTCTTTTCTACTTCCCTCATTGCAGCCCTTCCAAGACTCAGTTTTCTTTGAATTTCCTGCCTGCAGTCTCCTTGTGAATTGATGACTAAGGTTGAGTGTGCAGAATCTTTCACAATTTCAGTTTCTCATTGACAGTAAATGTTTGTTGTGCATGTAACAAATTTAATTCTTCAGATGTTCATCTTAATGGAGCCCAAACAGATCCATTCATGCACAAGAGTAGGTGTCAACTGGCCCTCAAGTTAGCAGAAGTGTATCTTTTAAAGTGGGAATCCTAAAAATAGCCCGTATGAACTTTGGCCATGGAGTACTGCATTGACTTTTATTTATTATTTGAGGTATTTCTAACCCATCCAATCACTTAAGTCTCTTAAGTGACTTTGCTCACAGCAAAATCTATAAATACAGCGATAAATATAAATAACATATATCCCAAACAATAATAAACTAGATATCCCATGAGTGAAATAAATAAAATTAAATTAAAATCTATTAACATTAAAATATTGGGTGAATAAAAAGGTCTTGACCTGGCACCAAAAAGCATATAATGACGGCACCAGGCCAACCTCTCTAGGGAGCGCATTCCGTAGCTGGGGTGCCACTGCAGAGAAAGCCACCCTCTGGGTATTCTGATTTCCTTCAAGGAGGGTTCCCGGAGCAGGGCCTCTGCTGCAGATCTTAGGGGGCGGGAGGGCATATAGGGAAAGCAGGCATGGCTATTTTGCCTTGAAAGGGGGGACTTAACACAAGAGCTCCTTATAGGCAACAATCCTTAGCAAGCTTATTTGCAAATAAGGTCCCACTGGGACAAATGCAACTGACTTCCCCGGATGCCTGAGCGGGACTGAAACCATTGTTGCCCAAATTAGAGAACATTTTTCTCTTACTGGAATGTTGTGACTTCAGCTGATAGAAGCGACTTGCGCAGTTATACTGGATCTTGGACTGGTATGTGGTGTTACGAGGTCCTGTGACATACTTCAGTTTTCCATTTGCTATCTCCTCAGCTGGACCACAGTCAACAACTGAAAAATAGATAACAGGTTTTAATTTATTGTTTAAACCCCAGAACAGCGGAACTGTGCATGTGGCTTCCCCCAAGTTCAATTCATAGTTCTCTCCAGTTAAGAGTTTTTTAAAGTTATAATTTCACATATTTCACATGTATCAATTAAAATATATTCAGATGCATGTAATACTTATTTTTTTGCCCCTCCCCATTTTTACTTATTTCATTGTGTTTTGATATTTGAATTAAAAAAAAAAAACCTCAAGTGAAAAGAGCCAACTAGCAAAGCAGTGCCAAAAACCTCATACCCAATTTTACTTTCTAAGCCACATTCCGGAGCATGAAGAGACTTGAATTTTCAAACAATTGTTACAACAGTAGGGCTTGGTCTGTTGGCTGCTGAGCTGCGTTCCTGGCAAAGATACTCCTGAGAATGCCAAATTTATATATTTCAATTCAAGCTTGCTTAAGCTCCTACCAGAAACCATGAAATGCGTGATCCACCTGCCTGTTGCATGTCCCTGCCCCCATGCAAACTACGAACATGGACATACTGGTACACTGAGCCATTGGCCTGCTCCAAGAGCCATCCTTCTGACATACTGCTGTGAAGGACTCCACAATCAGCTCGTTCTGTGTGGGAGGAAAAACACAGATCCATTTATTTTCTTCCTGGAAAACAACTGCAGCTCTGGCAGCCCAAACGGATGTACCCCTCTGGAGAAATACCTTTTGTCCAGTATGCACAAAAGCATTTGCCACTGGTTATCAATAACAGCAGTAAGGCAAGCCCTATTCTCCCCTGCCTCAAGCATTGTGTGCTTTTCCAGAGGCAGGCGAGGCTGAACTGGCCAAGCACAAGTGGAGGGGCTCCTGCACTTCATCAGGTCCAGCCTCTTCCCCACTGCCTGGCTCAGTTGCAGGATCTGCGGCAGGCTTCACCAGCCAGATGCCCTCCAGGTTCCGTGGACTACAGCTTCCGTCAGTCTACCAGCATGGCCAGTGGACAGGAACAACGGAGATCATCGTTCCCAACCTTTCGTTAGGCTCCAGACTGGGAAGACGGATTTATGGATCTATTGTGCTTAAGCTTAAAGACGAAGGTCCCTTGATTACTCAAAATCTGCTTCCTTGCCATGTTTATCTTTGTTCTTGCCCTGCTCTTTGGACCAACAGAGATCAAGGTTGCTCCAATCATTGCAGGACAGACTTTCAGACAGTTGAAGATAACTTTTATGTCTTCTTTAAACTTTCCTTCTTCACTTGAAACTTTCCCTGCTCTTCCAACCATTCATTGTAGGACTTGATTCCCAGCTAGGTAAAAGTGGCAGCTTTGGAGTAGTGTCCTACGTGTGGCATACCCTACCCAAGAAGGCTCATCCAGTGCCCCCAAGTTATCACCGAGTAGCAAGTCCTGGCTTAAAAAAGGAAGAATCAATCTCGGGTTTTTAAACTTTTCACATTGTATTTTTTATGACCCAAGCTTTCCCCCTTTCCCTTTTTAGGTTACATTGCAATTATATTGTTTTAGGTGCTACTGATTTTTTTTTTTGGGGGAAGAGGAGATATTTTTGCTTCCATCAGCCACCCTGAAAATGCAACTGTGCTTTTATTATTTTTTATTATATCAATTGAATTTGGGCATCGAAACAGAAGGACAGAAAAGAAGCAGGGCCATTCCACAGGCTGTGTGAACAGACCTGTTTCTTTTGTTTTTTCTCAAGCTTTTTCTGTCCCAACTGAAATAGGCCCCAGTCCTGTCACTGTAAGAACTCCTAGTGAATTTGGTTTTCCTTCTTTTCCTATTCTCTTTTCCTTTTGTGTAATGGCCTTCAGATTACGGTAGCTCTCCAGATGTTTCTGAACTCAACTCCTAGTATTCCTGGCCATGGTTTCAGCTTTTGGGAGCTGAAATCACAAACATCTGGACATCCACCTTCTGTCTACCTCTTATTTAGATTGTAAACCTGAGAGTAAGGACTACCAAGGACTCTCTGGGTGCTTTTAAAATAAAGTCTCTGAGAATAATCCTGGGGCTCCTAGACAGCATCTGAAGGGCCATAGGATATTTCAGTGTCCCAGATCCGAGGTCAGAGACAACATACTGAGGAGTTTTGGTGGGAGGGCAGGAGATGGGAGAGGCTGGGACACAAGTTACCCTGAATCCTTTCCATCCTCCTTACCTCCCCCCTCAAGTTCTTCAGCAGGATAGTGGACAATGCAGGGTAGGAGAGTTGAGAGTGAAAGGTTGCCTCTGCTGCTCTTTCCTTTCTGCATGCAATGGCCCTAAGCCTCTTGAGTTCAGCCCCAGGGTTTTGGATGAAAGAGCCAGATAAAAATGCAATTCATTCATTCATTCTAATTAACTACTTAAATGATATCCACCAGAATAAATTGAAAGAATAGAGCAGTACCAGCTGAAAGATGGCATCAAAACCCAGCTGCAATAGCCGAACCTACTTCCAAGAGCATGTAGCCAACTTCACAGGAGAGATTGTAGACGTCTTTCATAATGTACTGTGCTTGCACTGGATAGATGTGGCCATTGGGTGGTGCTTCAGGGCTGGGGCATGGCAGAGCTGTAGAAAGTTGAGAAACAAACGGAGCAAAGAACCTCTCATTCCTGCGTGTTACAAAAGTAGCGGACTCAAGTGTTTTGCTCATCTGCCCTGGGAAGGTGGAGGCGGCTATCTATCTCCAGCCCCTTGGCTTAACCCCACCCGTGAGATTGTGACCCTCCTGTGCCTCTCGTTGCTCGGAATGAAGTTGCTTCTTCCCAATTTGCTAATAGCCCAAGAAACAGGCTCCTGGTCCAGCTGCCCCAGGGTTGCCCACACAGGTAGGCAGCAGCAGCCCCAGGTTCAAGAAAACAAGGAGAATGTCTCTGGATCAGTGGCCGTGAGGAGGAGAAGCAGCAGGAGATGCTGCTGCCTTCTTGCCGAGTGCCGCTCTGCCTCAAGCAAGGAAGCAGAAGTGATGATGAGGAGAGGCGGGAGCATCCAGTAACCACGGCGAAGAGAAGGCGGCGCACCGATGATGGCTTGCCCAAAGGCCAACAGGAGCGTGGTACCAGGACCTTGAGGTGAGGCACCCGTAGTCCCTTCAGAAAAACCAGGCTGGGGAAAACCAAAGCTTGCCTCAGCCACCCGTCCAAACGGCAATCCCAAGGGAAGGACTTCCAGCGTGGGCACACCCGTCTTAGAATTGTTTTACCTGTGGTGGTGTATTTGAGCTTCCATCCCGTGTGAATTCCAGAAAGGTCCGAGGTGAACTGAACATCCACGACGCTGCTGCGTGTTTCGATTTTTGGAGGGAGCTCCTTGCCACAGAATGGGCCAAACTCTCTCTCCGGTGTTTTAACCTGGAATGGCAAGAGGACAGTCTCGGCCTAAGGACAAATCTGTGTGCGTTTATGCTGTCACAGTTGTCATTTCTTGCTCCCCGTGGCTTCTAATCCCACCTGCTCCAGTTATGCAGATACATACCTGACAGGGAATAACTCTTCTGCATCCCGATGAAATGGATTCTAGTTCACAATAGTTCGTGCTGTAATTTGTGAGTTTTTAAAGATACTCTGCTACTTTTGCTGCAACAAACAGGAAAGGCCTGGAGAACAGGGCCAACTAACCTTTAGGATATCATAGGGACATGACACCTCTGGATGGATTTCTACATCAAAGGATCCCACAAATTCCAGGATGACCATAAATCCATCTTCCACACGGATGCCATAATTGCACTGAGAGAGTTTAGGATATGGGTTGGGATAATGTGGGCTGGTGAACTCTCCCGATCTTGCCGTCAACACAATATTTCGACAGTCAGCTGAAAAAAGGATGTGGGAAGAAGAGAAGTTTTCAGGAAAGCAAATTCATGGAAGCATTTCTTTAAAATGATATTTCTTATAATGGCAATGCTCATTCTAGTTGTGCACACAGATGTGATCATTTAAGCAGTGCTGTTGAACCTTTGGTCCAAATCTGGGGTTCCTTTCTCCGGGGAATATGGAAAAAGTTCCCCATTCCTGCTTGACATGTTTAGTCCCTCAATCTGGATCATAGCCTTCTGCCTCTTTCCTTCCCAAAATCTATGAAAACAACCCACCCCACTGCTGCTCTTTCAGTTGTCAGACATGTGTAGGAGTAGAAATCATCTTTGCGACAAGCCTGGCTGGCATGCTTGGAAACACAGACTCCCCTGCTGGCAGCAGGCAGTTAGCAAGTGCCTGAAGGATTTCTGCTTGTTGACAGTTCTTGGTACTCACTAGGAGCTGGGTGCAAATTCAGATCCCTGGAGAGAGTTTGCAACACCAACTCTCTCTCAACTGATTTATGGAGGTGGTTGGGCAAGGGTTGACTCGACATAAACCCTTGGAATATTTCTGCTTTCTCAGCAGTAAAGCTCTGGGTGATTCAACATCAGAAAAGCGTTCAAGCTTCTTCCATTTCCCTTCTCCCTGCTTGCTTCTAACTTCCCAATATAAATGTGAGGAGAGCGGGGGGGAAATTGTATTTTTCTGCTGGCCTTTTTTAAAAAAAAACTCCTTTTAAAAAGATGCAACTTCATCCTGCCCTCCACCTCCCCACAAAATGGAGAATCTTTGCAGTTCCATCTTCCGTGCCACAATGTACTGCAGCACTTCTTCAAGAGTAAAGCAGAGCATCTATTAATCTTCTTTAACAGCTTTTCCCAGGCTACAGATATTCCATCTGCTGTGTTGATAGAAGGACCCTGGTTTTCTTTTTTGTGCATTGTACTTTTGTCCTCAAAACAGCACGAATGCTGTAACCCCATTCCTTTCTCTGGCACTGCAACTTGTTGAGGCAAACCCTCTTTTAAGATGGACTGACCCTTTGGAAAAGTCTGGAATTGGAAGCCACTTGAATTTACAATCTGCTGTACAAAAGCAAGGACTGGATAGGACCTGGTGGAAAGTCATCAGCTGTGGTGTTCTACTGCAGTGGCACCCCAAGAATTGGACAGTAGTATTGTGGTGTATGACTTTGCCTGTGATAGATTGGTATTGTGTGTGGGAAAGGAGGAGATGAAGAAAGAACAGAGAGAAGAGAGAGGGAAACAGAAAACAAGGAGAAACAGGACACGAGCAGAAGAGGAAAACAAGAAAGGAGAAAGAAGAACTTAAAGAGGAAAAAGAGAAAGAAGGGAGAATACAAGTGAGAACAAGAGAAAGAGTGAAAAGCGAAAAATAATAGTGGCACAACAATGATAAACACATTCTGGTACTGGGAATCTTGGCAACAAGCAGAAACCCTGGTTTGGTTATAGAGGCCAACATGCAATTGGAAGAGTATGAGCGAAGCTGAGCTGGGCAAGTTGTAGCCCAAACGGCATTTCGAACTGTGGTGTCCACACTCTCCAGTGACTGAGCAGGCTAGGCGGGGGAAAGTGGAATTTCCACAGTCTAAAATTACAGTTCTAACACTGCCTAGCTGCACCCTGAGTACGGGGCCCAGTCAAAGCAGGGCATGGGGGAAATTGCCAGGAAATGCTAGACCCATTGTTGAAGATAACAGAGCGTGGCAATCCCATGTTTAAAATTTTCATTCAGGGGCGCATGCAAATGCCGCAGGGGTGTGGTGCTGGAGAACTTGATCCTGAAATATTTTTTAAGCCCCCACCCGCCCCCGCCCCCAAATATTTGGTAAGAGTCCATAAGAGAGTGGCAGGAAGGGAATGGTGTCAGGGGTGCCTGCACGAGTTGGCAGTGCCCCCTGCCAGTCCATGCCAGTGGCATTATGCGCATGAGCCAACATGTGCCGCGGTGCTTCCCAGCCATGTTCTAGACAGCATTTCTACAGCAATTGATGGGGTGCAGGGGAAGGAGTGCAGTGGGGCCATTAAGTTGTAAGAACAGCCAGTTGTGGTTATGACAATGACACCTTTTAGAACTGGTTCGCCTTTTGTGTTTTATACCGTTTTATATGTCACCGCAGGGATCTGCCTTTATTAAGGGCTGTATTTTTATTTCATAGATCTGTAAGTGCAAAAAATCTATAAAATAAAAGTCTTGCGCAAGAGGAATAGGATAATTTTTCACACGGTCCTTGGCCATAAACTCCAACTGAACTTTAGGGGCGCCGGGAGAGCATTCAATTACACCTAGGTCTATATTTTTATTAGAGATACATGGGCACTGCCCACAGGAGACCTGAACTCTGAGAAGCAGGCCTGTCTCAACTTGCGAACTCATGATGGCTGGATCATTAGGTCGGAAATTAACAACGGGCTGTAAATTACATCACTGCATGTCCAGGAGAGTATATATAGAGAGCAAGGTGTATAGCTAAGAGTGGAATTGCTTTGGATTTTAAGGCTGAGCTGAGATGCTCGATCAGGAGTGGCCGATAATCCCATAGTGATGCTGTTATCCTCTGGCTGTAGCGATGTAAGATTTCAGGCAAAGAGAAAGCACATCCTTGCCTGACATGTCTCCCAACACCCAGTCCTGGCATATAGCAAGCTAGAACCTTCCTATTGACTTTCCATAGAAAGTGGGTTTTAAATGCCTATGTTCAGGCATATGCAAGGAGCCGGAGTGGCATACCGGTTAGAGTATGATCTTGGTTCTAGTCCATGAAGCTCCCTGGGTGACACTGGGCCAGCCACTAACTCTCAGCTTCACCTACTTCCCAGGATGATTGTGAGGCTAAATGGAGAGAAGCTGGAGGAGGATGTGAGCTGCCTTGGGCTCCCAGAAGGAAAAATGGTGGGACAGAAACTAACTGAACTTCTAAACCATGAGGTCCCCTCTCCTTCTGCCAGTCTTGCCCCTTGCCCTTCTTCCCTGGAGCCCTAGCCATCCGTGTGTGTTCAGGACTCATGTTACGTGTCGGTGTGGCACACTAGTGTGAGACCCCTGGAGCTGCTTTTGTTGGAAGACTGCTTAACTTTTGTCCTCTTCCTTCTGCGTCCCACTTTCCTTCAGTGTGGTATTTTTATACGTGGTAAGCTTTTGTGCAGGGAATCGCTTGCTTTTGCTGGTTGTTTGTAGGACATGCCGAGAGCCATCTTGACTGAGGGGTGGAATAGAAATGCTTCAATAACAGACACAACGAATACCTCCATGAGCCACGATTTGGATGGTCAGCTACAGCACCTGTCTGTTGATTCTCTTGCAAACCACCGGCTCAAATAAATTATGAAAACTCAAGTATGGAGAGGGCCATGAGGGGTAGTACCTCTGCATGCTTAAAGACCCCTGTTCAAGCCCTGGCATTTCCAGATAGGACTGCAAAAGTTCCCCCCCACCCCCTTCATTGCCAGTCAGTGCAGATTGGGGGTGCTGAACTGCCCTCAGTTCATTTTGGGGGAAGTGACTGGGAGCAGTTTCCATTCCCCGAGTCTGTGGGGCTCTCCACTGTCCTGATCTTAATAGGAGCCACCCAAGCTGTTGAACACTGCCCCCACACAGATTCGGTGCCTCGGAGCCCCTTGCCTCGCTCCTGTAAAGCTCAGGACAACTGCTGCGGTTCATCAAGATCCACACAGACACAGGCAAAAGAGGCAGGGCCAAAAGGGGCCCAATTGAGAGTTGACAGCCGGGGCAGACAGGAGAGCCGATTGGGCGGGTAGGATAGGACGGCGCTGCTGCAACCTTAGTCTAATCGAGAGAAATCATGTGTGGCCCTGAACTTGATGCCAATCATTCCAGCCTTTGTTCTGTACAGTTCTCTTATCAGCCTGGATCATTCACTTTCCTCGGAAGCTGGGCTGGGCATGTGGCAGAGTAAAGCAGGCCTGCAGAAAGCTTGGAAGGCACAGAGAAAGCCATTTTATTAACTGCAGGAGGCAGGCCGGGCCTGAGGCAGAGGGAAAAGGCCCATGCTAGCCTCTGATGGAGCACAGCACTACATGTGATTGCGGTGGAAGGCTGCGGGCGGCTCAGGAGGGAATATCGGCTCGTCTAGCTCCATCTCTGCCTAAGTCGTGCAGAAGCGCATTTAATGATTTCGTGCTGGAAAACAGAGATGGGAGAAGAGAGGGACAGGCAAGGAAAGAAACAGAACGAGAAAAGAGGCTGGTGAATATGACCCTTCCTACACACACAGGCACATTATCTTACAGGGCCATCTCCGGCGTATCTGTTGCATTCCTTGGGGCTTATTCCCAGAAAATGGATGCAGGATTGCAACTTTGACGTATGCTGCTGCCTCACTGTTTAACGTGAGATTGTGGCATTTTATTCTGTGTATTTTTTAAAAGATTTTTGTAATCTGTTCCAGGAGATCCAAGGAATGCTGGTAGACGAATCTTTTAAATCAGCAATACAACAGATAACGTAAATCTGCCTTCCCTGGATCTGTCTTAAGTATGTTGGACTGCAGCACCAATCAGTGCCATGGGAGCTGGAAGTGACGGTTGTTTTGCTGTCTAGACACACATGCAGGTTGCCATGTGGGCGAAAGGTGCTTTTGGGTACATAATGCACTTATTTGCTTAAAATCCAGTAGAAGCAGAATCCCGTGGCTTCTAGTTGCTGTCTGGGTGGCCATAGGAGTCTCTCGCCCTGGAAACTTGCTGAGCTCCCTCCCTCGCTCCCTCCGCCTTTGAAGCCAGCATGGAAAGGCCTGACCTGTGCGGGCTGCATCTCTGAGGCTGAGAGACTTCAGAGATGGAGATTTGCGGGTGTTTGAGGGAGTGGGGCAAGCAGGAGAGAAAAGCTGCTGACATACATAGCGCACTGGTCATGCCTGAGCCCCCCCTGCTTGAGCTCTGGGGAAAGACTGACATGGCCAAGATCAGTGGGAAGAACATGGGGGTGACCTTCACCTCCACTCTCTCTCTGCCCTCCATAGGTTGCCTATCATTACCATCTGCTTTGGGAAGGTTCTAGGCTGCAATGCTGGGTTGCACTGTAATTTTTTTAAAAAAAGAATAAATATATCTCCGACTTAATTTTAGGTCAATGGTTGCGTTGTAAAAAGCCACACCTCTAATCAAGTCGGGTGTTCCAGGTTACCTGATGATCTTCAGAGTTTGGGCCTTCCCGTTTTTTTGGGATGCACTCACCTGTGCAGGTCCTTCTGTCTTTGTGGAGCACATAGCCGATTTGGCAGCTGCAGTAAAATCCGCCCAGGTAGTTGTGGCAATGGTGATCGCACAGCGGCTCGTCATCCAGCTCCTGACTGCACTCGTCGATGTCTGGAGGGGGGGAGAGGAAAGAGGAGGCAGGTGAAGCTGGTGTCCAGCAGGCCACCTTCTCCTTTATATGTCCAGCTGACCTTGGAGATCTACAGAGGAGACTTTGCTGGGCAATTCGCAACCAAGAGAACGACCTGTGAAAAAAGCAGGGCCTTCTCAGTAGCGGCACCCACTGTCTGTAACTCCATCTCCTGTGCTGAAAATACGGCGAATGTTGACTGTTTCTGTGTGAGAACGTCTGAAGAGCTACGGTGGAGCGAAGCAAGGTCCACCCAATCCCATGTTCTGTGCAAACGGTGGCATGGAAAGCCGCCGCGCTCTTCCAAAGCTATGCTGATGTTTCCACAGGGCCTTCCTTTCCCAGAAAAGGAACCCCCCAGTTTCACTTCTCACCTTCAGCAGCAAAGAAGGCCTCGAAGCCTGTGAATTCCTTCTCGTTGGAGTAGTCTGATCGGAAGGTGACAGCAAGGTTGTTGTCGACGGAGTGGTAAGTCTTGTCTCCTGGAGCTTCTTCGGTGTCAGTGCTTTGATGTCCACACAGGGTGGCCAAGACCTTCCCCCCGGAACGCAACTGCAAAGCAAGGCGGGGGCAGAACAAGTGATAACGGGGCAAAGCAAGACGCAACGCCGGCCTGTGGCGAAAGCATTTTCTGCCTTTCAGCCATCCATCCATTCCCACTATTTCAAGCACGTGATTACCGGGACCGGGCCTGCTTTGCAGGGCTGAAGACAAAAGAGCCAGAGCCAGTGACTAAACAGCTGTGACCACAGTACCCAAATGCCAGCACAATTGAGCTCACCACTCTTACTGCCAGTCTGTAAGCTTTAGAAGAGGCATTGCAACCTTTCTGAAAAGTGGCACAAGCAGCTGGGAAACAGGAGTGTGATTGGTGCCTTGGGAAAAGCAGGTGTGGGTATAACGAACCCCAGAGGGCCAAACTGGGACTCCATGTGGGCTGGATTGGATTCACGGGTGTGAGGCTTAACCCCTCACTCCTACATCAACCCTGTTTACATGGGTATAGTTAACCGGGATTATCCCGGAGAGCTTTGGTTACAGGATGGTACAGAACTGAATTAAATGAAGAAGAGTAGAAATGGTTGCACATACTTTCACATAGTCGTATTCGCACCGGTAGGACAGTTCCATGCTGAAGTGGGCAAAATAGATCCGGATGGTGTAGCCACGGGGCACAGTAATGTTCCAAGTCCTTTCCTTGCTGTTTGGATAGACGTTTGGAAAGTCAGGAGAAGCAATCCTGCCATACATCCTCTCCAGCTGCAGGACGTCGCTCAGCACCCCGTGGGCAAAGGCAACTAAGAAGAGGCAAAGTCTGGGGAAGAAAATGGCGGAAGTCAGCAAAGGGTGAGGAGATCTCCTCCTCGACTCATCAGAACATGAGTGAGGCCTGGAGCTGGATGACGCCCGGGGTGCATCTGGTCCAACGTTCTGTTGGCACGGTGGTAGACTCAGACCCTCAAGCTTGCCAACAGGACGGGTGCAACTGTGCCCTCCCACCCATGTTCCCCAGCAACCGGGGTGCATAGGCCTACTGCCTTTGGTGCTGGAAGTAATGCATACCCATCAGGACTCGTCGCCCTTGCCTTCCCTACAAATTGGTTCAATCCCCTTTTAGAACCATCCGGGTGGGCGGGTGGCCGTCACACCATCCTGTGATAAGAGACCGTATAGGTCAAATTACACTGTGAAGATAAACTTCCTTTTATTCCCCCGGCTCAGCTCTGGCAGCCTTCATAAGGCGTGGTCTTTGTGCCTTTTAGCATCTTCCTCTCTGGTGACTTTGTCCTTCTTGACTGCTATTCCTTCCTTCCTCATATTCTTGGCTTCCCCGCTTTTTCCCATTCTTCCTCCCCCCCTCCCCCTCAATCATTTGCTTTTTTCACTCCCATTTCTTTCTTAAGAGCTCAAGAGGAGCAGATGGACAGACTGAGGGCCCACTGGTCCAGCAAAAATTTTATTTTATTTAAACGCTGTTTTAACTGTTCATGGTTTACTTGTTGATTTTAAATTGACCAGGCTGTTTCCACTGTTTTATTTTATGTATTTTATTGATTTGATGAATTTTTGTATTTTATACGGGATTTTAATGATTGCAAGCCGCCCCGAGGCTCATGCGATGGGGCGGCATATAAGTTATCAAATAAATAAATAGATAGATAGATAGACAGATAAATAAATAAATAAATAATTCTGTTTATATAGGGGCCGGCCATCTGCTCACGGGTAACCCTCAAACCAGTAGACCTGCTTACGCACTGGAAGCCTTCCTGAATCAAAAGGCTTTTGCCTGCTGGTGGAAGGAAAGCAAAGATGGTGCTTGCTTGGTCCACAGCCTGGGAGTGACCACCTAGAAGGCCGTCTTGGCTACTGCCAAAGTTGCCTCTGGAGGCAGTGGTACGGAAGCAATTTTGTACACTCTATTTCGTAATGCCAAGTACATTTCTTTGAACCCTTTGCTTTTTAGAACCTTTGTCCTCCAGCTCCAGGATTTCTCAGCATTGGCTAAGCGGGTCGGGTCAAAACACCTGGAGGGACTCATGTTCTGTAGGGTGATGCAGTGTCTTACTTTATAGAGGGCAGTCCTCTATTAGAGCTATTAGAAGACATTCCAGTGTTTGAAGGTGTCCTCTGTTTGGGGGCTCTGCTGTCCAGTTCTTTTGCAAAGCTTTGAAGGTGGCCCTCAACTGCACAGCAGCTTAGCTGCACACCCCCTGGTCAGCTAGCCAGTCTTTTTCACTCCGGTGAGATGTGCAGCATTTCTATTTAAATTATAGCTCTCAGTTCTATATTCCTCTCTCTCTCTCTCTCTCTCTCTCTCTCCCTCCCTCCCTCCCTCCCTCTCTCTCTCTCTCTCTCTCTCTCGATATACTGTATATAATTAGTATATGTAAATGTTAAGCAGATGGGCATCCTTTTCTGTCTTCTTTTGGTTGTCTCAGGTAAGTGGCCACTTACGTTCTAAAGAGGTTCCCCTGTAAAACTATCCAGTCCAGAGACTAAAATGACCTAACGGTATCACTGGACCAGGCCACGTAGGCGATGTGCCACGGTGTAAGTTACAGGGGCACAGGGCGGCCCTTAGAACCCCACATTTAAGAGGGTAAATCTTGTAAGTCTCTGAGTTCTCGGGTATCAAAACAGATCCAAAGAATTGTATTAGGCTTCCCAATTCCCTAGAGAAGGAGATTTTGAGAAGAAAGTTACCTCATTGCTGTGGAGTCCATGGGGAATCTGCGATCAGCGGCTGTCTTTGGGATCTTTGCGCTGCTGGGAAACACCACCCTTCTGTTGGTTCAGTGGTGTTTGCCTGAATTTTGAAATCCAATCCTTATCGCTTCCTTTCCCTTTAGTCCAACACCAAGCCAGTACGGTGGGTCACGATTGATAGAAGCAGACATGCACTCACTTCAATGTTTGTTTTCTCTTTCGTTTCTCTGTTTTTGTGGCTCAAAAAGTGAGAAGTGCAGGTGGCAAACTTTTGGCTGAAGCCCAAAGTATTCAGAAATAGGGTTATTGTTGCAGTCTGGGTGCTGGAACAGAGCACCAAGTCCCAGGAGATGAGTGAAGGAACGGGGAAGTTCGCAAATCTTTTTGGTGCTTGAGAGGAAGGGGAGGGAAAAGTGTTTGGCAATATCGGTTGTGTTTCGTCAGCTGTGTGTTCCCCACTCTTGTGCAATGTGGGTAAATATATTGAGAATTTAGGATCCTTTGCTACAGCTAGTTTATGAAAAACTAAAAGAGAAATATACTGAAAGAGAAAGAAAGAGAGAGGATAGAACATCAGTTTGTACTTCCTCAGAATATTGGGGGTTGTGCACAACACTTGCTAGCTGGGGCTGATGGGAGTTGAAACATCTGGAGGGCCCCAGGGTTAGGGCAGCTGCTTTAAAGAGTCATCATTTCTGTGTTTAGTGAGGATGAAGTGTGTCTGTATGCATTGGAGGCGGGGGGAGCTGCCATCTGTTTAAACTCAGGTGTGCCATTTATGATGACACAGTCCGTGTGTACTTTGCAGTTTGTGTACTGTCAGTAGGAAGCAATGTATAGTTTTTGTCAAATCCATTCCGTCTGGCTTTTACAGATCGTTTCATTGCTCATCTGCACATTGACAGAACTGGGTGTTTCTGGAGGTGGGGTTGGAAAAGAAGTTCACTCCACTTATGCCATACATGCATTTCTTCTGATGTCCCATCAGCAAATTTGCACAGAACCTCCAAAAGTGAAAAGGTCTGCAAAGCCACGGAATCTCTGTGGCTTGGGAAAAGGCCATTTCACTGCTAGGGAATCTGCCGGCTTGATTCACAGAAATCCAAAATCATTTGAATCTGTTCTGGATTTGTTTTGCTTTCCTAGCAGTTGGCTCAAGTGTGCAAGACCCAAATGCAAGCTGATTCCATGGGACGGGGCTTTAAAATGGGGGCAAGTGATGGGTTGGGAAGGTAGGATTCTCCTACCTGTGCGTGCTAGTCCCAATCTGGATCTGAGCTCTGCCTGCTAAAGAAAAGAAATTGCTTCACACAACACACGGTAGCTTAGCAGAGAATTTAAAAGTACTGTTAAAAGCCCCTCTTTTCAACCACATGGTCAGAAGTTCTGAGGAAGGGGGATTCCAGCTTGCCTGGATGCTTGCTGTTGCTCTGGAGATGAATTTCACCTAGCGATTCTGTAATTACACTGCCATCTTATCTCAGTCAGCCCTTGTTATCGGAGGTGTCTGTTCCACAAGGCAACATATACTGCCCTGTCACCTTCAAATCTCTTACAGCCTTCTCAGCCCCTCGATTCCGAAAACTAAACTGGCACTTTTCAGTGTGTCGGGGGGAGATATCCAAGAAAGGATTATTAATATAAAAATACAGAAATAAAAAAGCAGAAAATTCAATTTCAAGCAAGCAGACGGATATGCTTGCAGACTGTGTTTGTCACAGCATTGAAATTCCTCAAGCATCTTTTCTTGATCAAAATATCGTGGGGAGACAGGTTGTGGATGGAGGGAGGATGTTGAGAAATTCTGTATAAGGCTGCCCCTTTTTCTAATTGCAAGAAAGAAAAAGAAAAGGGGGGAAGGAACAGAAAATGTCTCAAGGGTTTCCCCTCTGGGGAGCCTCTTTGGGTTGAATGAGGATGCTGATTATCCTATGTATTCAGTAGTGGTATTTATACCCCATTGTTCAGCCAAAGAGCTCCCAAAAGCTTCCGAAATTCTTCTAAGGTTCTTTGCTTCAAAGTTCTTATGAGCAGACTTTCTGGCAGTTTTCTGGCTGATGAGCGGAGCTTGTCTGGCCCCATTTTTTGGGCAGAGGGAGGACGGAAGTGGTCACCTACACCTGCCTGCCTGCTATATATTATATTTGAGTAAGGGCAGAATGGGAAGACAGGAACGAGGTGAGCCAAAATGATAGAAGGGGAAATGACCTGGCATGGGAGAGAAAGATTATTGTTAAGGTAATTGGAACTGTTGTTAACCTTATAGTGAAATATGATTTTACTATTTATTTGTAAACTCTTTAGGGATCTTTCAATACTTAGCAGTATAGAAATAAAGATAAAAGCATTTCATTTTTAAATACATATCTCTCCCTTCTTCTCAAGGAGCCTGGGTCACCAACAACCCGTATAAAAACAATACCACATATGGGACAGTGTTAAAATCAGAATGGGACCAACGTGGTCCCAATTCTGCTTGATGTACTTTCCTGATGGGCAGCATTTAAATGGCAGGTCTAGTACTTCCCCCCTTCCCCTTTAAACTGGCATTGGCTTGCCCTTCTCAAATCAAAAAATCGCCTGACATTGTAAAGACAGAAATGGGGAATGAGCCAGCCAGACGCGGCACTCATGTCTGTGTCGTGAGCCAAGGTGGCAGTGGAGTGGGGATTGATGAACAGGGAGGCAACAAACTGTGAACTGAGCCAGTAAAGCTACTTTGTGGTAAAGGGCAGAACAGAAGAAGGTGAATAAATGCTTTTAAAGCTAAAGGGAGCACGCTGAAATGCCCTGTTCCTCTTCACTGGGTCTCCGTTGATGGAAGGCAGATTATGTTTTCTTCACCCTGTAGAAGCGAGTGGCAGCCATGCAGTAGAAGAAGGGTTAATAACAGGGAGCAGAGAACACGACTTTGGGGGCTGTAAATACCTCCACCCCTCCCTGGAATAGAGAGGGATATGTCAGCTTCATTCTGTTTCTTGTTTTTCCAGTCTTCAATTCATTGGTTTGAAATGAAGTAAAATGAACACCTCCCCCCACCCCCAGCTTATTTCTAGGCTTCCCCTAATGCAGATTTTTTTTTAAATCACACATTATTGCCTAGTGTATTTTGTGTAGCCCCCTGCCAAACTCTGGAGGGCCACCTTGACCTGGGGTTCAGCACCCCCCTGCATGGCAGCATCACAGAATCCCGTCTGGAACGGCCTGTCTCTCTGTCTCTCCAAACAGAGGGAGTGAGAATCTCCTAAGGGCAGCCGGGTTCTGATTTGGCCCACATTGGTCCCAGATCCTGCCTGCCTGGCCCAGTGTCGCAGAGCCCAGTGGAGAGGACAGATAAATGTCACTTGTAAGCAGCCACACTCGCTCCTGTGCTGTCGCCTTGGCGCTCGTGGCAGCATCCGCATCCCGGGCTTAAAATTCAGCTGGCGCTGACTGCAAGCTGCCGTGGCTTGGAAGTACTGCTGGTGGCATGTATGGGCTTCGTGCACAAACAGATCTCTGCATTAGAAGCAACTCTGGCTGGGAACGATGGCATGTGTAGTCCAACACAGCTGCAGGGCAGCAGGTTCTATTTATTCTTTATTAGTGCAAGTGGAAACAAAAAAACCCAATGTAAAGAATAATGCGCAGAAACATATATATTCACAGACCATATCAGTTAAACTTCAACAAAGGCAGGCCGAATATCCCTGTGTAAATCCATCTGCAAATGGCTGCCTATGTGCCGCCTCTTCAAATTCTGAAAGCGTCGTTTGGTCCTTAATCCATTGCTTTACAGGAGGTGAGCATTTGCCCTTCCAGTGCCATATCATTCTTTTATCAGTCCAAAGGGTGCAGAAGATCCACTTCTGTTGACCATGAGCTTTAACTTCCAGGAAATGGGTAGATCATTTAAAAGAGCACATGTCTCAGCAAATGTGAATGCCTATTCCAATATAACATTTATCTGTATTATAACCTCCCCCACCACCCCAAAGTCATGGATGTGGCAAACACTTTCTGAAGGATTAGTACTATTATACCTTTAGCAGGTAGCTGGCTTAGACTAGCCCAGGTGATCAGAGGTACAGGACTTCAGGCTGGGGAGGCTGTGCTACACACTGCGACCCTCAGGGGTTTTTTTTGTTTTTTACTGTTGACTGGGGCTCATGGGAACTGAAGTCGAAAACATGTCGAGTTAGCTTGGCTGATCTAACCCCCGGTCAGGGGTCAGAGGGACCCTGTTGGAGTGTGGATCCTCAGCCACTGGCCAAGCATGGTGACTCTCGCCCCATGTACGCTCCACTTAGGAGCATCCTTGGCCCCTGCTGGGCAGGCCGGGAGGAGCCAGGCGGACTGAAGACAGTGCCGGATGAGTTTCCCTTTTCCTTCTTTGTCACCTCCTCGGTTCTTGAGCATGAGTGGCATCCCAGTAATGGGAGCTGACATGTTTTCAGGAAAGCGCCGTAATGGAGTCTGAAAGATTTGAGCACCATTGTCCTCCCCCCGCCCTTGGCGCACACACTCCGTTGCTCCTGGATTGCAAAACAACTTCCGAAGTGTATAATTGCAATTTCACACCTTCAGGACAAAAGATCTCCTGGGAAGGGGTTGGGGCTGGGGAGGGGGAAAGATGAAATGCCATGGACTGGAATGAGAGAAGCTTAAATTCAGCTGCTGTTTCTTTTGTTCCATGTATTTCATTTTACTGCTTTGCCAAAAACTCTCCCCAAGTGGTTTACACAGAGTCAGTTGAACAAAACAGTCCAGCAGCTATACCATTTAAAAAGACATGATACTCAAGGAAAAGAAGATGGGGAGGGATGAGGAAAAGAGTCTTTCAGTAGGGTGGGTGAATTGTCCCACCTGTTTCCCTCTTATTTTCCTCTGTACAGCCTCTTAGAATTCAGGCAAATACTGATTTTGTATGATTTTTTTTGAAATGTAGAACTTTATGGCAGTGTGCAAAGATTACTTGAGTTTCAACTCATATAAGTGCTTTGAAAGTGTGAAATTAGGTAAGCTCATATCAAAATGTGAACTGAACAAATTTCTCCCCTCGTGTCTATCAAAGACCAACCATTCCACCCCAAAATGTGAGCCAGTTTAAAAAAAAAAAAGACACCACACCGTTTCAAAAACAGAGCAAGTGCCACAAAAGGATATTCAAAATTTTTTGAAGACTTTCTACTCTCCTTTTCCATGAGATGTTGTCGAGATAAATCAGGTTTCGAAGTGGCCAAGTGAAAAAAGCCATTTGGGCCATCTGTGTTCCATTTGCCGCAAAAGGGCTTTTCATCCATTCTCATTAGGCGGACTTCCAGAACGTGGGCGGAAGGGTGAGGCCTGGGCAGCTGCCCCGCATGCCAAGCTAAGGAGCGCCATATGGAGAGCCCCCGTACAGCATCGGAGGGCTAAATTGAAAGAATAATGGCTCGTCCCTTGGCAGGGCAGCCGCAATGAGGCAAACTTCAGCACTGATTTGTCAGAGGCAATTTCTCGCCATTATGACACCGTTAAGCAGGGACCCAATGGACAAGTGGGAGAGATTAATCTGGCTTCAGCAAGAGGGATGGTCTAGCCTACAGTCCTGTCTTCGTCTTCTTCGGACAACGTACTATCTCTGATAGCAAAAGGAATGCACTCTCTCTTTGTCCCTTCTTTTCTCAATTCTATGGGAAGCAAACACCCCCCAAAGCATTTTTTCGGCAGGTGGAGAATAAGCAAACCGCACAGCATGTGTGCTAAGATGGCTGACCTTCTGGACTATGCTCTGTATCGGGGCGTTGAACTCTTTCACCTGAGCTTCGAATTCCCTTCCAGAGACGCTCTCGGGGGCCACCTTACAGTGGTGGCAGGGGCTAAGGGGAAAGGGGCAGGGTAAAAATACCAACCTATTTGACCTGAAAGCTCTGATGGCCAGAAACGAAGCCTTAGGCAAAGCACTGCAACGTATCAGAATGGGGAAGGGGTGGAGGGGTGGACCTGGAAAAGTGGGGGAACCCCAATTGCTCTGTGGGTGGGGAAAGGGTCCTCTCCAGCTGGCAAGGCTGCAGATGTGTCAGAATTGGCCTGCAAGGGCTTAAATTCAAGTCGGATTTTTCAGGGAAGAGACCCTTGTTCAGTGATGGGGTCTCTTTGGAAACTCCAAAGTTCAACCTCCAGCGCCAGGCAACAGTTGATGGTTAACAGCCTTTTCTTTCTGGGGCCTTGAAGAGTGGCTGCCAGCCAGTGCAGGGTATGCTGGGCTAACCGGCCTTACGACCTGCCCTGATTCAAGGCAGTTCCTTGTTCTCCATGTTATGCTTACATACTACACCAGTTCCACTGAATGTCAGTTTCTTTTCTTCTCAATTCAAGGTGCTCTCTTTGATCTGTGAATCCCCAAATTGCTTTGACCCATTTGCCTTCCTCTATATGGGAACTTGTTGGACAATGTGACAAGCTAAAAAATATATTTCCATTTATTCAGTTGGTTGTTACCTCTATACTCCCACCTTTACCCCTTTTGCAGGGAATCCATGGCAGGTTCTGCAATTTTCCTCTCCTTTCTTCCTTTCACAGCAACTCTATGAGGTAGGCCAGGCTTAGACTCAGAGCCTCCCTGTTGAGAGGGTGTTGCTCCCATTGGGCTTCTTCACCACCCACTCAGAGTTTTGTTCCCCCTAAATATTGCCTTCAGCTTTTGCAAACTTCTGGCTTTCTCCAAGCATGCGGAAACCTTCCTTTTTTCTTTTTCTGGCAGCTCCATTTTAGCCACAAAGCCAGTATAATGCAGCACCTGAATTTGCTCTCAGTCTGGATCAGTGGTGTGGAACCTCTTTCAGCCCAAGGGCCAGAGGGTCCACTGATCAGTGGGGCTGAAAGCACGCAAGGCTAGCCTATTTTATTGAAAACTCTTCTGGTTAGTTACTAAGCCTTAGAAGAGGCATTGCAATTTTTATAGTGGATGGAAGAGAATTCAAAAGCTGGAAAAACACAACAGAATTGGCAGTGGAGTAAAGTTAGGGCTAGAGAAGGGGGTGTGAACACCTGGGCACCTGAGGACTCACTGGGACTGTCAGCTTAAGGGTCTCCCGCTGCTGCTTATAGTGGTGGATGCATGTAGGGCAGGATTTGTTTTGCTGTGGGGCCAGAGATCTGAGCAGATGCAGGCCTCCCTGTTTCCAAAATTGTTTGCTTTTCTACAGGCTGCAGAGTAGTTTCTGTTCAGTCGGATTTTGGCAACGCAGTCGTCTTTAAATTACTTTTCTATTGCTGCGTTTCAGTTTTCTTTAATCCTCTTTAGATAGTTCCGGGGATTTGACTGGTATCTGTTGTGTGTGTTTTAAAGGATGCATTTTATTTTTGTTTCTCTTTTTGACGGTGAGCTGATATTAGAGACAGACATGACAGCTGGGGCTTAGGCGTATTCACGTGTCAGGAAAAATAATGCTGCTGCTGGGAGTAGCCGTGCTTCTGGTGGCAATGCTAGATCTTGGGGGTGCTCTCAGATTGCAAGCCTGATCCTTTCAGGGGAATGTAGCTCCCTCCAGAACAGGTGAGCACGCTTACTGTGCAGATGAATCGCACACAAACCGTTTTCACAGTGATCCTGCCCCAGAGCTGGCGTCCCTGCACATCTGTGGCCACCCCCTTTGGAGGCCTCTTCAGTCGCATCCCTGTATGCCAGCAGAAGTCCTCTCAGCCACCAACACCCATATCACAACATTTTCCACTTTCCTTCAAACCAGACGGCTGTGCGAGGGCCCTTTAGGCTGACCGCCCCTGTGGCTGGGTGGTGGATGGGATGCGGGAATCCGTCGCTGCCTCTCTCCACATCTGCAATCTTCAGACCTGGCACATTCTTTCCATGCGTATCTCCTGCCCCCACATTCTAGCTTGATGAGACCTCCCAGGCAGACCTCTCTCCCCCCCCCCCCCCGGCTCTCCTTGCTTTCTTCCTACCATTCTCGGCAAAGGGCATATTTTGTTCTGGTATTTGTGTATTTGTCAGGCTGCTTTTCTGATGCCTCGTTGACTAGCGAAGCCTGTAGCTGTGCAATTTTTGTCCCTCCAGAGGCTGCTGGAGACGGGATATTTTGATCCTGCCGCTGCTTATCTGCAGGCATTGAGCTGAGCATGATAGGGACAAAGATAAGGTTGTGGGTGGTGGTGGAGAGAATGTCCTCTGTCTGGAATTGCTGGATCATTGTCTGAGAGAAATGAATGGTCAGCTGGTTCTCCTGATTTGCAGCAGTACAAACCCTCTGACAGTCAAACTGGGCAGTGAATGCCAAGTGGATCAGAGCCCAATATAAGGGGCCACTAGGAGATAAGGAGCATCGATGTGATGTGCAGAAGTGCACGAAGCATTGGACTCTCTCTTTCGGACTCTCAAACACAGACACACTGGTGGGGTTCAGACAGCGCAGGAACCCCTCCTGCAGGGCTGAGCATGGGCTGCACAGGGGTTCTCACTGAACCTTGGTTGTTGCTGTGTAGTCTGAACCCAGCCCCTCTCTCATTCTTGCGCACACGTACACTTGCTTTCCCTTCATTAGACCCACTGGAGTTGTGAATGTGACATCCCAATCTGCAGAATCAAATCTGGCCCTCAGACTGAAAGAAGGTTGCCATCCTTGCTCTAGGATGACCGGTCCATGGGAATTCTCCTTCTGCCCTAATCCTGGCACCTGAGAATTCTCTTGGCAATTCCAACTTCCGTTTCCTTAAAGCCTTTCTGGGCAACTTCATGTCCACCAGCCTGTCACCTGCCCTGCAGGGCTCTTAAACTATGAAATTTGGCACTACAAGAAGTGGCTGCCCATTTGGATGGCTTTAGAAAAAGATGGAGAAGAGTCTGTGGGTATTTTCTCCCTTCCGGATCAGGAGGAATAAGATCTCAAACAAGAGATGGTGTATGCTTCCAATCAGTCCGCCCCCCAGGAACCCCCCAAACCAGGTCTGCCCCAACTTAAGCCAGGAAATGGCTACCCCCAGCTCTGGAAAGATACAACAGGAGGAAAGAAGACACCAGAACATCTAACGTCATGTTCCCAGGAGCCTGTATGCCATGCTTTATTTGCGAATGGAGCCATCATAAAGCCAACACTGAAGTCATTCAATGAGAAAGAAATCAAGTGAGGAAACCCAAAACCAAACCAAACAGAACCATGGATGGGCAGATGCTGTTTGCAAGGGCGAGGAGAGTTCGTCATGTGCTAGCAAGACCAGGGATGGAAAGATGTTGCCAACGTTTGAGTAGGTCCTCGAAGGTGGGGCAGATTCTGGAGTACCATTTGATCTGCAGCAACTTGTAGGCAATTGCGTCTTAATTGCTGCTCCTTGCTATGAATTAGCTTGCCGTACTGATTTCTGCAGATCAACCCTCTGTACAAGGGATGGGAAGACCCTGTGGATGCATTTCCCCCACCCTGGCCCTGGCCCTGTTGGCAACCCTACACAGTGGGAGACAAAGTTGGAGAGCTCCCCGATCCAAGGAAAAGGGGATCTGGGGAGTGGGTGCAGCTGGTGTCTTAGCAGGCGGTGAAGGTTTTCCAGAAGAAGTTTTTGCAAGGGGCTTTGCGATCTCGCTGGGTGATGTGGGATAGCCTCCCAAGCACAGAGGGCTCTTCCTCCAGTTTATTGTCAAGCAGGTCTTCAGAATTGGAAAAGGGTGTTCCATCACGTCCCACGTCTGCCCCATCCAAGAGATCGGCCAGCATCTTGAGGATCAGGCCTGAACGAGCTTTGGTTTGCTCCTGCAGTCAAGGAAGATGAGAAAGAGCAAGGGCATGAAGGGAGCCATTTGGTGGAGAGTGTGAATGCCTCGCTTTTATGAATGCCTCAGAAATGGCAGAATTACAGAATTTAGAGCCGTGAGAAGAACTCCTCCTGTCCAACCCCTTGCCCTGGGTAGCAGCTTTGCAACTACAGCCTCCATCGCTGTGCCTGGAGAGACCTCTCTTGGTATCCACTGCTTTAATTTTTTGCACATTAAAGTTTTCACATTTTAAAAAAAATCATGCTGTGAAGTATTGGGTGCGACAGAAATGTGAAAAAGGAAGCCATGGCTGATGGTTCCTGTGTCAATGGGGCAGTGCATTCATTTTGGGTTGCAGCCTGAACTTAGAAGGAACTCTTTATGCTGCTGAAGAGAACAGGGCTCATTACCCCCCTGAATGGATGAATGGATGGACCAATCAACCTAAGGAAAGATTTTCTGCTCTGTCTGTGAATCTGTCTAGGCTGCCAGGTGAAGGTGGTGTTGCTTCATCCTTCTGTGTGGAGAGGCTGCCAGGAATTGATCCCGGGACCTTCTCGCGTTTGAGGTGGGGAGTTCTCCACCACTGAGGACCAAAGATCCCTTCTCTCTAAAGGCAGCCAAATGTTTTGCATGGCTCAAAATGGACAGAGAAGCCTACCTGCAGAGGGAAATGCCTCTCCCACTCTAGGTTTCCACCTGAAATTCCAAGGATTGGCAATGGAGCCGAACCTATTGCAGGAATATGGGTTCAGCACCATGGACAACGTCTTAATAGTTTGGACGAATGCCCCAGCCTGGGGTTGAAGTTTCTCCTAAGGCTTACTTCCCTGCAGAAAGAGGTGTACGTGAAAAATAGGCTGAAATTAGTTTGTATTTTTGCCTCTATCCAGCCTTTGCCCCCTTGCTTCCTTCAAGAGCTTCTTCGAAATTGAATCTGGCCCTTGGGCAAAACATGTTTTGAGAGCCAGTGTGGTGTCGTGGTTAAGAGCACGGGACTGGGACTCAGACGATCTGGGTTTGAGTCCCCGCTCAGCCATGGAGCCAACTGGGTGACTTTGGGCCAGTCACAGACTCTCAGTCCAACCTACCTCACAGGGTTGTTGTGGGGATAAGCTGGAGGAGGAGATGTAAGCTGCCTTGAGCCCTTTGTAGGAAAAAGGCAGGATATAAATTGAAAAATAAAATAAAATAAAATGTTACAGACCCCTGGCTTGCCTCCCCACTGCCTCTTCCTCCTATCTGAATTCACCCAAGATCGAGCATCTCCACACGTACCTTCTTTGCACGGAATGTCAGCCTGAAAATCAGTTGGCGATCATGTGGAGTGGCACATCAAGGCTTGGGCCGTAGCCGTGTGCCTGTGGCGGTTCATTGCCAGGTCCATTTTGTATTTCCAGGGTTCTATTTTTATTATTTTGATCAGTTTGATCTCAAGACTCAGTATAAAGGCAACTTCCTAGATTCCTATTTAAAAACAACTCTTCTTTCAGAGCAGTGAGGACTGAAATCTTAGTTTGTTGTTAAGGGAAAGACCATAACTAAACATTTATTATTTGTTTATTTCATGGATTTCTGTGCTGCCACAATAGCCCATATCTGGGCTCTCTGTGCAGCTCACAATATAAATAACAATATAAAACCCTTAAGCTGCTTTGCATGCAGAAGATCCCAAATTCAGTCCCCAGAATCACCAAATAAGGGCTAGAAATGCCCCATCTGAAGCTCTGAGAGACCATGATGGCCACCCTCTTGTCTTTCTATGTGCCTATAATGGTTTCATAGGTATTTCGGAAGATATCCCGTCCCTGTTGAATATCTTAAATTGGCATGGTCTGCCTTCCCCTTTGCATCTGGTCTCCCAATTAGGATATATTAAGAGTTTCATGTAACAGGTGGCAGCCCAATATGGGCTGATTCCTTTCCAAGCCCCGGTACAGTTACAGTGCACTGGGAGAAGCTACGCCAGTTCAACCTCTGCCTTTCACACTGCTGTCAAAAAGCAGCGACAAAGACTTGATCAGGGAGGAAAGCCGGGCACCGTCACCCGCAGTTTGCTTCTTAGTTTTCTTTTTCCCATTAGTGAAGATGACAGTTCATCACAGTCAAAGCTAAATTACAGAGAGTCACAAGGCAAAAGGCTTTTAAAAATCATCATCATCATCATCAAGATCCTTTGCTTATTTCCTGGCATGTTACAGCTGCACTCTGACCTATTCAACACCTGTATCCTCAATTTAACCCATTTAAGGGACAATTCTGCATGGAGTTAGTCTTCCCAAAAGCAGCATTTCCCATCAGCTGTAGTTGGCTGGGGAATGCTGCGAGTTCTAGCACATTTTTGGTAAGACATTTTTCTGTTTAACTGCGCCTAACATTTTCCTTTAAGCAGCATCCCTGTATACACTTACCTTAGCTTTAGCCCCACTGAAACGAATAGGACTTACTTTTGAGCATACATGCTTAGGACGGTTCTGTTATTTAAAAAAAAAAGTTAGCCCTTCTCTGAAAATATAACAAAATGGGATAACATGTCTGCTTCACCTTGTCCCACTAATAAACCACCTTGTCCCACTAATAGGCCTCTAGGAACAGGCAAATGTCCAAAAGGTGCAGTCTTCTACCCTCTGTTGTAGGCAGAGAGGAACACAAGAACCTTGCAAGTTCCCAATGAAAAGTTAGCCTCTTTTAACCTTTCCCCCCCTCTTTTTTGCAGGATGTTGGTTGTCTTGGGGTGGGACCACTTTGATTAGGCAGTTATACTGTCATAATGGATACACCTGTGGATTCCAGAATTAACCCCCGAAAATTGGGAATTGGTTTCACCTCCCTTCTCTTCAACAATTTTCACCAAACCCTGCCTAACCCTCTCGCTTGACCCCCCCCTTCTCTTTTTCAGAATTTTCCCCAAAGGATACCAGACACATAGCAGCACAGAACCCATCCCAAAGTCAATTCCCTGTGCAGAGCTGTGCGACTGTTCTAGATCAGGGCCCTTCCTTTCCAAGCAAAGAGGCAGCAGCAGCAGCAACGCCTCCGGTGATGCCTTGAAGAGGAACCCCTCTGTTTCGGCAGAAGCTGCCCACTTCATCAGCTGCAGAACAAAGCTTCTGTTGGAATAAAGGTTCTCGTCTTCAGGGAGCCACAAGATTCTTTCGCTGCTTTTCTGCAACAGGCATAGGTACCCCTCTAGAAACCTTTAAACAAGGAATCTATACATTATTTTTTGTTTGTTTTTCAAGGTTGCTTCTTTTGGATTTTTGCCCTGTTTTCTGTAAGGCTGCAACACTTTCTGCACTTCTCCCGGAAGGACAAAAGAAGCCTCATTTAAATGAGAATTATTTCTAAAGGGATCTATACAGGATCGTGCTGTTTATCTTTTGTCCTTTCATTCACCTGGAGTCTTGCTGCTTGTTCTCTCTTGAAGAACCCCTTGCAAGTGCAGGTCACATACCTAGAGATTCTCTCCCGCTTATATATTTAATCCCCATCCCCATTGCTATAGCGGCTTCCTCCTTCACCCTGTTTCATCAGATTCCCCCCTCTTTCCATCACTTCTCTTTCTGAAATACTGATTTCAACTTCCCAACCCCTTTATTTCCATTTCTCTCTGTGTGGGGAAATGCCCCTGTGCACACGCTTCTCAGCAGCCTGCCCTTCCAACGCTTTACCAAAAGGAAGCCAGAAACCCTAGAAGAAGTGCCCTTCGGTACCAGATCCCAGATCATGCAGGAATGCCGTTCCTTTCCAACTCACCCGGCTGCTCTGCACCGAAAACTTATCCTCCCCTGGCAAAGCAGAAGCTCTCGTGCTCCAGACCAAGAGCAGCACGGCTAGGAACCTCGCTGTAAACTGCATGACAGACAGATCTGGGCACTCCTTGGAGAAGATGTGTCAGAGCTGCTTCCCCAGTTTTATCTGGCCTCAGAAGGGGGCTGCAGCAGGCCCTTTTATGAAGTGTCCCCCACCCCCTCCCTCATGAGCTGTGCCAGGTGACGGAGACCGTCAAATCCATCTGGTGAGCCAATGAAACTTCGGAGGAGCCTCAAGGCAAGCGTGGTTGGAAGGCTGAGAGAGCCCCGGTTATCCCAGGGAGTGACAAGCCCAGGGCTGCGCTTTGAAGCAATGGCAGAGGGCAGCGGGGGAACAACGTGTAAGGAGAGAACTCCCAGAGCATGCAGGGGGGGTGTGCGACTCATGCTTTCAGTCTGGGCGTTCATGCTACTTTCTTGTAAACTGGGCAGCTGTCTGCAAAGGCAGGTGTTGGCGGAGCCATCTTCTGGCCTTGTAGCTGGGCAGCCACCTTTGGGTCTCCCTCACAGCCCTACAGCAGACACAGCTGCCCTGACTGCCTCTCTGAAGGCATCAGAATAACCTCAGAGGTGGGCTTTTGGGGTGAAGAGGGGGCAGGACCACTGCAGCCACGCTAAGATGGATTCTGGTGGTGCTCTTTCTAAGGTATTGCACATAGATGGCTAAGTGCTTTGCAGGATGAGATAGAAACATGGAAAGTTAGAAGGGGGTCTCCCGGGCCATCTAGTCTGACCCCCGGATCCACTCATGACATGTCTACCTTGCGTATTCTCCACTCCTTCTGCCCTGCTCAAATTCCCATAATTCCCCAGTTTTATCCTGCCAGTTTAATTTTTTCCTCTTCCATCCTCATCCCCGTTTGCTTGTTTGCTTTTTGTTTTGTAAGCCGGCTTGTTTACTGCTTTGTTTACCGGTTGAGGTTATGCTGGTCCAGGAGCCTTGTTTGGGCTGCGAAGCAGGATAAGAACCTTTGGAATAGAAAGAAATAAAGAGCTTCAACGATGGGGTGGCACATAAATGCAATGCATAAAAACATAGAAACTGAATAAAACTAATAAGCAGAGAAGCGATTTCTTTCAGTAATGCAGGTTGAAATCTCTATAGTACATCATGTATGTATGATTACGAAGGGGCAAATAGACTCAATTGTGCGTTGTAATTAAGGCAAATTGCATTTGCATATGAAGAGCAGTTTTAAAGAACATTGTTTTCTGTGTGTAATTGCACAGTAAAAATTGCAAAAAGACCGATAACTGGAGGCCAGGAACAGAATGCTCTTCTATACTATACCCCTCTGTGCAGGTTAAGAGAGGCATTGTGAGTGTTTCTTAATACGGGTAAATGTTGGCATTTCCTTTGTACGTTATTCTGTGGGAGTAAGGTGGGGTGAAGAACTTGAGGGAGCTGTGCCCCCATTTCTCCCAGTTGGCCAGTCATTTAGCAGTTTCTTGGCTTTTGTGTTGGTCTGTATTTTCCCGCATTCCAGAAGGCTGAACGGTCTGATGCTGATACATTGGGCTCTTCCCCCTTTGACTCCCCTCACCCTTTACTGGAACATGGCCCCCGAGAGCTACTCCAAAGCTGACGTTGGCCCTTGGCTCAACATCCCCAATTTACAGTGTCCGCTGGAGGCTGGAAAAAAAATGACACTTGCAGCCAGGCACCTACCTCTTGCCTTCCTCTCGGGCCCAAATCGCAGCTGACCTCAGAGGAATGCTGGACTTGTGGCCAGCGGACTTTAGCCATGGACTGAGGGGCCATTCTGGGTTCAGCGGTGAATTGCTGCTCCTGATGATCACTCGCGTGTTCTTTTCGGGGATGCCAAAGGGCTTGGACGTTGCTCAAAAGCTTTGTTGTGACCGGCAGTTCCAGAACACAATCTTCTCTTAAGGTAGCATGGGACAGAAGGGATGCTGGTTAATTTGCATATTTAATTAAATGTGAGGCTCTCAATCAGCCTATAATTTGAGTAAAACCTAAGGGAATGTACAGATTGGCACACTTGTTTCCCAGCAAAGCTTTGTAACCCTTTAATATATATATATATTAGGTAGGGGGAAATAATCAGATATCTCAATGTGGGAACATATTAGCATTTAGAAATGAAGACTTTTGATGTTATTGCGAACATACTTTTCAAAATTGTGTGTAGTTCGGTAGGGAGGGCTGCTTTGGATGGCCTCCTATTACTTTTCTACCCGTGTTGAGATATGGCAGGTGGGGAAAAGTGTAGAAAATTACAGCCAAAATGTTTTCTAGTGGGAACAGAAAGAGCGCAGCATCTGGGGAACTGTTAATGTAATTATCACTGTCTGTACTTTTTGAATTTCAATTGCCACCGAGAACCTTCCTGGCCAGCACATTTCTATAAATCTGCCAAATGTGAGTTTAACACTAATGCATCTGCAAAACAAAGCTTATGCCAGAATAAAATGATAATTTTTCAGGTGCCACAGAACTTGGTTGCTTTTCCTGCCTGCCCCATCTACCCCTGTGGAAAACATTAGGGGGGATTCAGCTCAGGAGGAAAAATGGTGATCAAAGAGGGGACAAGACGGGGACATATAAAATTAAATAGGGTGTCTAGAAAGAGAATCATTGAGAACTTTGCCCTCACCCAATATGAAAAGTCAATGTGGTAATCCTATAATGCTTTCAGTTCCGACGTTAGATGTTGCTTTTGACTGTAGATTCAGGCTGGAAGCAAAAGAAAGTATTTTCTTCACACAGCACGAAATCTGCTACCCAGAAGGTGGTGGACATTCCCTTAGGTGGATTTTAAAGAGGCTCAGTGAAACTCATGGAAGAAGAGACTCAGTGTGCATGGTACTATGCATCAGGAAAGCAGGCCCTCTGGCCCAGCCAAGGGCCAGTCTGAATCTGCTTGGGCTCCTAAGCCAGTGCTGTGGGGTTTTCCAGCATGCTGCCCCCCGTTTCCCCCAACCACCAACATTTTGTGTTCCTTTCCTTTTGTGCCAGCTTCCCCCGCTCCTTCTGCAATCCCTTTTCTGAGCCTCAGTTATCAGCAGAAAGGGCTTTAATGGTAATTTGGGCCCCTCCAGTTTTGACTTCTCCCACCCACCACCAGAATGTGGCCCCCAAGAGCCACTCCACCCCAAAAAAATCCCCAAAAACAAAACCCCACTCCTCGGGTTGAAAGAGCTTGCATGCACTTGCCCTGCAGAGCTGCTGCTGGCCTGCCCTCTCCCCTCGTGGGCTCCCCAGTCAAATCTGACTGGCCACTTTTTGAAATGGATGCTGGAGCTTCGGTCTTATCCGGCAGGACCCCTATGAAGTGAAAACGTAGTTCAGAAGAAGTCCTTCCTCAACCAGCACATCGTTCAGCTATGGAATTATTCACCACATATGGCCAGCAATGGACACTGGTGGCTGGGGAACATAGACTTTGGTGGCCATGGTTTTAGCAGAAGCCTGGACCTGAGAGACCCCCGGCCTGACCCAGTGGGAGAGGGGAGAGTTTGGTCCTGCAGTTGGCAGGAAAGGACGCGGCTTTGGGTGAAGCTGTCTGGAGGGATGGCCGTGTCACAGCAGTGGAGGAGGCGTGTTTACTGCTGCCAGTTCTGCAGGAAAAAATGAAGCAAACCCTTCTAGAAAGGAAGGAGATGTATTGGTTATGCATCTCTATCTGTAGCTGTGAGAAATGGTGCACCGCTCAGGAATAGCTCCACTGACATTTCAGGCAGTGGGCAGCTCCTCAGAAACTAGTCTGAATGTTGCACAAACTACCTGTGTGCTTCCTGGCCAACTTCCTGGCCTTCCGGGGGAGACAGAAAGTCCTTGAAAACATAGAAACAGAGCGAGTCAGAAGGGGCCTCCCGGGCCATCTAGTCTGACCCCCGGCTCCAGCCGGCTCCACTCACGACATGCCCACCATGTGCATGTCCAGCCTGTCCTTGAGCACCCACACCGATGGAGCCTCAACCACCTCTTGTGGACGCCCATTCCACACCCTCGGGGTCCTAACTGTCCAGAAGTGCTTCCTGGCATCCAAATGGAACCTGGTTCCCTGAGCTTTGCTCCCTTAGAGCGCATCCTGCCTTCCTCTGCAGGGGAGAACAGGTCTCTACCCACCTCCGTGTGACATCCCCTCACATACCTGTATGTCACCAACAAACAGTACTCCTTCTGTTTCTGATGGCTTCTTTCTCTGTGTCTTTCTCGTGTCTGATCCTGGTATCCAGCACCTTCAGGAGCCCATTGGTGGAGCACACGCTTTGGTTCTGTGTTCAGTCGCTGGCATTTCCAGCAGCTTCCCCAAAACTCTGAAGAGCTGCTGCTGCAACCAGTCCAGTCACTGGGCCCCGTGGATCAAATATTTTAGTAGAAGCCGGCTTTATTTGTTTGTTTATTTTTAAATTTATATGATGCTGACTAGTCGGAGGATTCTCTCGGTGGCATATAATGGGCTTCCTATGCTTCTGTTTCAAATCAGGTCTCAGTTCAGAACCATGAGGACTAGAACCTTACTTTACTATTAAGGAAAGGGTCAGTATAAAAGCAGCATAACTATAATATGTTCTCATGGAAAGCAGAGGCGAAATCTCTTCCCTCATTGTGAAATAAGCATTGTATCTGGAAACTAGTTAACTAAGGAGGGGATTGATTTTTTTCCCCTTAGCTAGAGCAACTTTCTTAAATCTGGTTCCCTCTGAATGTGTTGAAATACAAGTCTTATCCTCCCCACAATGGTGGTGATGGCTGTTGTAGTCCTGAGAGGAGCAGATCGGGTGATGGCTTTTGCAGAATAACCCTCAGCCGCTGGCAAACTGAGCTTGGCTCAAAACCCCAAATGCAAGTTTTGGATCACTGAGTATAGACAGGAAGAAATATTGTGCTGCATGTCGATTTAGCTGGTTAGAGTAGGGTTTACACAGCCCTTTTTAAAAAAATCCTGTACCACCTCCCTTTCCACCTCACGCAGCGATGAAACGAGAGGCAGTGTCCAGAAGGCAACTGAAGCCTTGGAAAGCTTTCAGCACCTTGGACAGAGACGACGTCTCCTCCGAGGCCAGACGAGCGCTCAC